TGAGTCCCTGGCGGCGTAGTGTGTTACTGATGGTAGGCTTTGTTACTTTGGTCCCAGCTCTCTGCAGGTCATTCACTAGGTCCCCCCTGTGTGGTTCTGGGATTTTTGCTCACCGTTTTTGTGATCATTTTGACCCCACGGGGTGAGATCTTGCATGGAGCCCCAGATCGAGGGAGATTATCAGTGGTCTTGTATGTCTTCCATTTCCTAATAATTGCTCCCACAGTTGATTTCTTCAAACCAAGCTGCTTACCTATTGCAGATTCAGTCTTCCCAGCCTGGTGCAGGTCTACAATTTTGTTTCTGGTGTCCTTTGACAGCTCTTTGGTCTTGGCCATAGTGGAGTTTGGAGTGTGACTGTTTGAGGTTGTGGACAGATGTCTTTTATACTGATAACAAGTTCAAACAGGTGCCATTAATACAGGTAACGAGTGGAGGACAGAGGAGCCTCTTAAAGAAGAAGTTACAGGTCTGTGAGAGCCAGAAATCTTGCTTGTTTGTAGGTGACCAAATACTTATTTTCCACCATAATTTGCAAATAAATTCCTAAAAAATCCTACAATGTGATTTTCTGGAGAAAAAAAATCTCAATTTGTCTGTCATAGTTGATGTGTACCTATGATGACAATTACAGGCCTCTCTCATATTTTTAAGTGGGAGAACTTGCACAATTGGTGGCTGACTAAATACTTTTTTTCCCCACTGTACATTTTACGGACACAATCTATTTTACAATAGTTATATTTGGTTTGCTTTTAGTCCTGTCCTTCCGCTACCCTCAACCTCTCCCATCTATTTCTGATGTCCATACACTGTGCTGTTTCACAAAAGTTCTGAACCTATTTATATTTTACGGACACAGTATATGTTACATTAGTTATCTTGTTGTTATTAGTCCCACCCTTCAGCTCCATTCAACTGTGCTGTGATGTTTCACAAAAGTTCTGAACCTTTCTATTCTCATCGTTTCTACAGATTGTAAATTAAAGATAAACATTTTTGCTGAAAGTATTATTATATTATTGATCGATTGACTATGACTTTTCAAATTACCCAGTAGTGCTATCTGCAGAGTTAGGTCCAGGTAGATGTTGCAATTCTTCAGCCATTCCTGGACCTGTGACCAAAAACAAGCTACATATGGACAGTAACAAAATAAATGATCTAATGACTCTGTCCCTTCGCAGCAAAATCTGCAGAGCTGGGATGGTTGTATCCCCCAGATATACGTATAACATTCTATTGGTTGCAAGAATTTTGTATAATCATTTAAATTGAACAATTAAACGTTTTTAATCCGGCGTCGTTTTGCGTATCAGTTCATAAACCATGTTCCACGGAATCAGTACATCGAAAATCTCTTCCCAACTATTTTGCAATCAGTATGGCACAGCTGTCAATTTTTTGGTCCTTAAATGAAACTGGTATACTTTTTTATTAATCACAATTTTCTTTAACCAATTTTGGTGTTTAATGCAGGGCCGACAGATAAGTTCCTTACGTTTTCCCCCTTCCTCTTGCCTCTTCCATTTTTGCAGTAATGCTGCAATTAGTTGGTTGTAATTTTGGGTAGAGCAGACATTTCCATATATTTTTGTTAGCTGCATGTCTGACATAACTCCACCAGTCCTATTTATGATATCATTTACAAAAGTTATACCATTCCAAATAATTTTTGCTCATATAATTTTTTTTGAACAGGTCGCTAGGTGTAGGCAAGACAATAAGCAAATAGGTAAACTGGGATATGACTAAATAATTAATTAGGGTGATTTTTCCACAAATAGACAGGTATTTTCCTTTCCATGGTAGCAAGATCTTATCTATTTTTGCAGACTTTCTATGAACATTTATTGGAGTGAGATCATTTCTTTCTTTCGGCATATGTATACCGAGTATGTCCACATCACCGTCAGACCATTTTATTGGTAAATTACACGGTAATGTAAAAGTAGTATTTTTTTGTGATCCAATACGTAATATTGTACACTTATCATAATTTGGTTGTAATCCAGAGAGGTTAGAAAAAGTATCTAGAGCCTCTATGAGGCTGTGGATGGATCAAAATTGTGCATTTAAAGAAAATGTGGATCAACAGCGTACAATGACACCTTTGATTTTAAGCCCTGGATTTCTAACCCCTTGATATTATTGTTGGATCTGATTTTAACAGCTAATAATTCGATGGCAATAATAAAAATATATGCCAATTGTGGACAACCTTGTTTTACTCCTCTTGACAGTTAAAACATTTCTGAGAAGTAGACATTATTTACTATTTTACACCTAGGGTTGCCATATACAGTGGAGAGAACAAGTATTTGATACACTGCCGATTTTGCAGGTTTTCCTACTTATAAAGCATGTAGAGGTCTGTGATTTTTATCATAGGTACACTTCAACTGTGAGAGACGGAATCTAAAACAACAATTCAGAAAATCATATTGTATGATTTTTAAGTAATTAATTTGCATTTTATTGCATGACATAAGTATTTGATCACCTACCAACCAGTAAGAATTTCGGCTCTCACAGACCTGTTAGTTTTTCTTTAAGAAGCCCTCCTGTTCTCCACTCATTACCTGTATTAACTGCACCTGTTTGAACTCGTTACCTGTATATAAGACAACTGTCCACACACACAATCAAACAGTCTCCAACCTCTCCACAATGGCCAAGACCAGAGAGCTGTGTAAGGACATCAGGGATAAAATTGTAGAATTGCACAAGGCTGGGATGGGCTACATGACAATAGGCAAGCAGCTTGGTGAGAAGGCAACAACTGTTGGCGCAATTATTAGAAAATGGAAGAAGTTCAAGATGACGGTCAATCACCCTCGGTCTGGGGCTCCATACAAGATCTCACCTCATGGGGCATCAATGATCATGAGGAAGGTGAGGGATCAGCCCAGAACTACACGGCAGGACCTGGTCAATGACCTGAAGACAGCTGGGACCACAGTCTCAAAGAAAACCATTAGTAACACACTACGCCGTCATGGATTAAAATCCTGCAGCGCATGCAAGGTTCCCCTGCTCAAGCCAGCGCATGTCCAGGCCCGTCTGAAGTTTGCCAATGACCATCTGGATGATCCAGAGGAGGAATGGGAGAAGGTCATGTGGTCTGATGAGACAAAAATAGAGCTTTTTGGTCTAAACTCCATTGCACCGTATTGAGGGGAGGATGGATGGGGCCATGTATCGCGAGATCTTGGCCAACAACCTCCTTCCCTCAGTAAGAGCATTGAAGATGGGTCGTGGCTGGGTCTTCCAGCATGACAACGACCCGAAACACACAGCCAGGGCAACTAAGGAGTGGCTCCGTAAGAAGCATCTCAAGGTCCTGGAGTGGCCTAGCCAGTCTCCAGACCTGGACCCAATAGAAAATCTTTGGAGGGAGCTGGAAGTCCGTATTGCCCAGCGACAGCCCCGAAACCTGAAGGATCTGGAGAAGGTCTGTATGGAGGAGTGGGCCAAAATCCCTGCTGCAGTGTGTGCAAACCTGGTCAAGACCTACAGGAAACGTATGATCTCTGTAATTGCAAACAAAGGTTTCTGTACCAAATATTAAGTTCTGCTTTTCTGATGTATCACATTCTTATTTCATGCAATAAAATGCAAATTAATTACTTAAAAATCATACAATGTGATTTTCTGGATTTTTGTTTTAGATTCCGTCTCTCACAGTTGAAGTGTACCTATGATCAAAATTACAGACCTCTACATGCTTTGTAAGTAGGAAAACCTGCAAAATTGGCAGTGTATCAAATACTTGTTCTCCCCACTGTATAACTTTAACCCATTTTATATGAGATTGTCCTAAATTGAAATATTCCAGGCATTTATATATAAATTCCAGTCGTACTTTATCAAAAGCCTTTTCAAAGTCAGCTATGAATACCAGGCCTGGTTTCCCAGATTTTTCATAGTGTTCTATTGTTTCCAGTACTTATCTTATATTATCTCCAATGTATCGTCCATGTAAAAATCCTGTCTGATTAGGATGAATAATATCCGACAATACCTTTTAAATTCTGTGCTATACATTTTGCTAGAATTTTTGCATCACAACACTGAAGTGTAAGAGGCCTCCAATTAGTCTGACCGTAGTCTGACTTTTTTATGGCGGTTTTGGATCAGTGGCTTCTTCCTTGCTGAGTGGCCTTTCAGGTTATGTCGATATAGGACTCATTTTACTGTGATATAGATACTTTTGTACCTGTCTCCTCCAGAATCTTCACAAGGTTGTTCTGGGATTGATTTGCACTTTTCGCACCAAAGTACGTTAATCTCTAGGAGACAGAACGCGTCTCCTTCCTGAGCGGTATGACGGCTGCGTGGTCCCATGGTGTTTATACATGCGTACTATTGTTTGCACAGATGAACGTGGTACCTTCAGGCGTTTGGAAATTGCTCCCAAGGATGAACCAGACGTGGAGATCTACAATTTTTTATCTGAGGTCTTGGCTGATTTTTTTTTATTTTCCCATGATGTCAAGCAAAGAGGCACTGAGTTTGAAGTTAGGCCTTGAAATACATCCACAGGTACACCTCCAATTGACTCAAATGATGTCAGTTAGCCTATCAGAAGCTTCTAAAGCCATGACATCTTTTTCTGGAATTTTCCAAACTGTTTAAAGGCACAGTCAACTTAGTGTATGTAAACTTCTGACTCACTGGAATTGTGATACAGTGAATTATAAGTGAAATAATATGTCTGTAAACAATTGTTGGAAAAATTACTTGTGTCATGCACAAAGTAGATGCCAAAACTATAGTTTGTTAACAAGAAATTTGTGGAGTGGTTGAAAAATGAGTTTTAATGACTCCAACCTAAGTGTATGTAAACTTCCGACTTCAACTGTAGATACATACTGTCTTTGCTAGTGGTTTTGCCCACCAACAGAGACACTTTATTGTCCCCCTATGGATTCTATAATCATACAGGTGAGGTTAAAGTCCGTCTAGGTGTCAATACCTGAGTGCCTAGTGTTCATGAAGGTTTTCATGGAAAATGCATTGCGCTCAGGCCATTAGCCATCACACACTCCATCGCTGCCATACTGAGAACAGAGAAAGGGCACTGTTTTAAACCTGTTTGATAAGGAACATTCATCTGTGGTCAATATACCCAAACCAACCTGTTTCATCTGTGGATATTGCTTGGAGAGTAAAAGGAGACGAGGGACAGTGGAAGAGATTGTGGAATATGAAATAAGTGGAATAAACACCTAATGTAAAAACACTATGATGGAACAATTCAGACTCAATGGTAAGTCCATCAGTTTTACATGGTAAAACTATATATATTTTATTAAGTGTAGCAATGTTAGATTTTCTGTTTCTTTTGAAAACATTATGCTTGGTATAGGTCTATTTGTGTTTTATATGGTGCTTATGTCATATGCATGTTCATGATTCTTATGTGTTAGAGGCTACATGATGACTTGCGATGGACAGTATCATTGTACAGTATCATCGTCCCTTCAGTAAGTTCAGTTTATGAAGATGTCAAATAAGTACAATATAAAAGGCTTATTTACATAATGACTTTTTCAATCCGATATAGTTACTACGAGCATGCCCTTTCGTAAAAACAAACCAATGTTTCCACTCTATATTATAGACCACAGATAGAAAGGTGGATATGAAATGTCTAAGAAACAACATTTGTCTTATGGAGTAGTGGCTGAGTAAATATAGGGTATAGTATAGTCCATTTGAAGAGTTCATTTCCAAAACGCTATATCCACCAATGTTTTCATCAGAAATGATTGCTTATGAGTACCTTCATGTGTGTCTAAAATATTACTGTTCTCAGATTTTTTATTCATATATTTTAGATGTGTATGAAAATGTTTTTTTATTTTTGCTCAACGCTATATATCCATCTTTTAGCTGGAATGGAATGTTCGTATCCTGTATATTTGACTGTGATATGTGGTTGTCTCACCTAGCTATTTTGATGAATGCACTTACTGAAAGTCCCTCTGGATAAGTGCATCTACTATTTTACTAAAATGTCAAAGGTAAATGTTTTACATACAGATCTCATATTACTGTATTGAATTCTTATTTATCTTTATTAAAATGTTATTTCAATATCTGTCACAAATGTATCATTTGTACAGTTCTTTATAAAAAATGTAGTTATTTGTTACATTTGGCTGTTTGAAACCTAGCAGTACTTCTTATTTCTCTGAGAGTGAGGTGGATATATAACATTTAGCAAAAAAACTATATTATTACTTGTCTCTAAAATGAAATCATCAAGTGTGTCACGATCGTCGATAGATGAAGCGGACCAAGGCGCAGCGTGATAGGCGTACATACTTTATTTCGTACACAACACGAACCAAAACAATAAACAAACGATACGTGAAGTCCTAGGTTAATAACACAAACCTTAACGGAACAAGATCCCACAAAATAACAGTGCCAAACAGGCTGCATAAGTATGGTCCCCAATCAGAGACAACAAGCTACAGCTGCCTCTGATTGGGAACCACCCTGGCCAACATAGATATGCATGAACTAGAACACAAACCTAGAAAACTAAACAATAGAAAATCCACACCCTGGCTCAACATTTAATAGTCCCCAGAGCCAGGGCGTGACAGTACCCCCCCCCCCCCCCCCCCCGGGAACTGCGACCGCGCCAACCAAACACAAGAGGTTAGGGGCCGGGTGGGCATTCCGCCTCGGCGGCATATCCGGCTCCGGGCGTGACCACCCCTCTATCTCTACCCCCCCCGTAGCGCCCCTGGTCTGGACCGGCCCCGCTGGCCGGAGCTGGACTGAACACCGGTGGAGCGGATTGCTCTGGCTCCGGCGTGGAGCAGCTGACCGGTGCCGGACCAGGCACCGGTGGAACAGGCACGGACCGTGCCGGACTGACGACGCGCACCCCTGGCTTGGTGCGGGGAGCAGGAACGGGCCGGACCGGGCTGACGACGCGCACCATTGGCTTGGTGCGGGGAGTAGGAACGGGCCGGACCGGGCTGACGACGCGCACCACTGGCTTGGTGCGGGGAGCAGGAACGGGCCGGACCGGGCTGACGACGCGCACCACTGGCTTGGTGCGGGGAGCAGGAACGGACCGGACCGGGCTGACGACGCGCACCATTGGCTTGGTGCGGGGAGCAGGAACAGGCCGGACTGGGCTGGCGACGCGCACCACTGGCTTGGTGCGGGGAGCAGGAACGGGCCGGACCGGGCTGACGACGCGCACCACTGGCTTGGTGCGGGGAGCAGGAACGGGCCGGACCGGACTGACGACGCGCACCATTGGCTTGGTGCGGGGAGCAGGAACAGGCCGGACCAGGCTGACGACGCGCACCACTGGCTTGGTGCGGGGAGCAGGAACAGGCCGGACCGGGCTGGCGACGCGCACCACAGGCTTAGTGCGGGGAGCAGGAACGGGCCTGACCGTACTGGGAACACACACCACTGGCCTTGTGCGGGAATCAGGAACGGGCCGGACCGGACTGGTGACACACACCACTTGCTTGGTGCGAGGAGCGGGACTGGGTTTCCTCACAAACCTCCGCTCCCTCTGCTGCCTACTCAGTTCCTCTCGCCGTGCCTCCACACTATCCTTCTCCCTCGTGACCAGTGGCCCCCGTAACCTGGCGGCCTCCACTGCCAACCTGCTGAACCGCTCTATCGCGGCCTCCCGCTGCCTCTTCGTCCACGGCGTGAGCCCCCCCCTAAAATGTTTTGGGGCTTGTCTCTCCCCCGTGCTCATGGCCTCCATCCCTCTTGCCAGACTCTCACTCATCTCCTCCCAGGTCCATCCTCTCTCCTCGTCACGCTGCTTGATCCAGTCGAGGTGGGATCTTCTGTCACGATCGTCGATAGATGAAGCGGACCAAGGCACAGCGTGATAGGCGTACATACTTTATTTCGTACACAAGACGAACCTAAACAAACGATACGTGAAGTCCTAGGTTAATAACACAAACCTTAACGGAACAAGATCCCACAAAATAACAGTTCCAAACAGGCTGCCTAAGTATGGTTCCCAATCAGAGACAACAAGCTACAGCTGCCTCTGATTTGGAACCACCCTGGCCAACATAGATATACATGAACTAGAACACAAACCTAGAAAACTAAACAATAGAAAATCTACACCCTGGCTCAACATTTAATAGTCCCCAGAGCCAGGGCGTGACAAAGTGATAGATTTTTAACAAATACATGTCTGTCATTGAACCACCTCATGCCATTAGATAGTGAAAAAACCCCACCAAACGCTTTCATAATTTCTTTAAACAATCAAAGCTAATTTACCAACATTTCTGAAAATGTATATATAGCGTTTTGGAATGAAACTCTTGTTTTGGCATAGTGTTTTGGCAGTTACAAAGACAGTGCCTCAGAGTGCCCAAGAGAATGGTGAAGTAAATTAATAAAGAAATAAAGATGGCATTGTGATATGTGCCATGGAAGGGATTGGTGAGCGCCCATTTTACAGAGAGTGGAGGAACGATGGCTCTCTACCTCCATTACCTGCTGCAGTAGGGGGGTTGATGAGAGGCAGTTGAAATATGAGGATGGACCCCAGCGACACTCACCCCACTACCAGGGGCTGTCTCCTGACAGAATGGTATTCACCTGTTTTCTATAATAGTTGACAATAGTTGAATAGTACTTAATTGTAGACACTTGAGAGATATGCAGTTCATTGCAGTGAATTCCAATTAGTTTCTATCAATAGTCTCCTGAAGTACACTCCTTCTGTATTACTCTTTGTACCATTGTGTTCCCTGTTTCCTGAACAGTGCTTGGTGGATGAGATGGAGGAGGAGTGCTTGTACACTGAGGAGGTTTTTGCCTGATGTATAGAAGCCTCTGGTGCCATTACTCTGTTTTAGTGCCACCCTAGTGGTCATGGTGTTGTATGCCCTGGCAGATCAGCTCCGTGGCTTTGTAGCTGATATCTTCATTCCCAGTACCACTACCCGTTTGCTGTACCAATCACATTTGTCCAGGTAGGTCACCATTTGCTCAGGGTTATTATAAGAGTAGTCTGTGTCGGGTTTTGAGTTGTGTTGTTATGATTTTACATGAGCCATCATCAATGTTTCTTATCATCATCAGGCCTTTGCTATGTGGTATCTTTTAGAAATAATAATGACTAGTATTATTGCAAATTATCTTCAGCCAGCTGGTGTGCTACCGTGGCAAAGTTGGTTTGACTTTGGATAGCCTATCTACGGGGCTAATTATGGACTGTCAATAAATTACACAATGTAAATGGGACAATATTTTCATGTTGCAGACCTTTTAGTTGTCTCATTAAATGCGTTCAATATTTGCATATGAATTTCTACAATTTATTTTTGTTTTTTTTTAAGTGATTGAAATTGGGAGCTATTGACATTTTAATATTGTCCCATGTACATTATGTAATTTACTGATGGTCCCTAACTAGCCCCATAGGGATATGAAATGGCAAACCAAATTGACAATGGGCATTACAATCTGGTCACATGCAGCTGCGTTTCGAATTGATGATTACTTGGGTGCTGCCCGCTTTGGGCATGTGGGCAGGATTGAAATAAACCCAACCCAAGGAAAACTGTTACAGAACCCTCATTATGTGACATACTGTACAATTTTTTCCTATCATTTCGCAAATATCAGTTTTGGACGAGACTGACTTTATGACCACTTATTAACAATTTGTAGTCAATTTTGACACTAGAATAAATGTTTCTGACTCATATCGATGCCAAATAGGCCGTTTTCAAAAGGAGAAGTTGGTTTTTACGAGCAGTTACTCTTTAAAATGGCTAATGATGGCTAATGTTTGCCTGTGTTTATGGCATGTCTTTCCCAGGTGCTGGTGAGTCTGCTATACTTGCTGTTCCTCCATGCTGTGGGCCTGGCACCACCGAAGCCCTACTCTCTGTCTCTGGGTGAACGCCTGCTGGTGCCTTCTATCTGTGGCAGTGCCCAAGCTGTGGTGGGTGTGAGGGCAGAGGCCAGTGCCCACTCTGGCATGTACCCCCTCACCATGCGCCTGCTGCCCCTGCTCTGTGTGGGCTGGAGCCATGGCCTGCGGCTGGTAGTACCACCTTCAGTCCACCTAACAGACCTTATCACGGTCAACACTTTCACCTCTGTCACTATCACAAGTAAATGCATTTACAGTGTTTAGCTTGAGGAGAAAGTGAGTGGGGAAGATATGTGGGAATTCTTAAGGCTTCAAAGGGAACTGCTCTCCATTCACCAGTTAATAACAGACTTTATAAAATCAAATGTTTTGAGGTGTCAATCATCTGTTGTGTCAGTACACTAACTTACCCCTTCTCCCTGCAGTGTCTCAGGGTCTCCCGTCAGTGGAGGTTCTGGAGTGTCTCTACGCCCCGCTGGCCCTCCTTCTCCACAGCTTTTCTCTGACCTGGCTGGCCAAGGTGGCTGAGAACGAGCCCCGGCGCCACAGCAGCTCCCACACCTCGCCCTTTGACCTGTACTTCATCCTGATGGTGAACCAGAGCCTGGTGCTGGGCTTCCTGTGCCTGCTGCACCCAGAGGGCCCCCAGGCACTGGGTGAGGGTAGCTGGCACAGCCTGCTCTTCGTGGACTACCTGCTGGCAATACTGCTGTAGGGAGCTCTACAGCACCTCTTGGTGGACATGGCCACTCTGACCTTCTCACCGCTGGCTGCAGCGCTACTCCACACAGCACGCGGATTAACAAGACCCTTGTACAGCCTGTTGTAGAAGATCCAACATGGAGGAGAATGAAGTTGACCCTAGATAATTGTCTGAAGTCAGTTTTGCGTCCCTCCTAATGGTTAAAGGGAGGATTTGGCTAGAATAATCTGATCCTAGATCTGTGCCTATATGGTCAACTTCTACCAGGAGCAGGATAAATAGTTGTACTACAGAGCAGTATTATTCCCTCTCTGTAGTACAAAGACTTTCAACTCCCTAGGTGCAGCGCTTGGTACTTTTATTACCAGCGCTTGTGTTCCTTCTTATACTTTATATCATACTTACTACTGAACCTATATAAATGGTTTGAAAAGGCACTCAATCTGTAGGGAGACTGGATTAAACCTAACCTTTGCGCTAGATTATGCACTTCTACCATACAGAAATGATCAGAATGTGACTGGGAAGATGTCATAAGGCTGCTACTTTAGAGTGGTGTCATTGACAAGCTAAATGATAATAAGCAATCCACTTCAAGTGTTCGTTAACCTATAAAGATACACTATGTCTACCTCAAGGTTTTTCAAATCCCCACATGCAACAATAAAAGTTAACATTCAATTGGACAGATTTTCATGTGAATATTCTAAAATCCGCTTAAAGAAATTCAGCAAATTTCCCACCAGTGGTGTGTTTCCACCAAACGAACTTGTTGGGGATAATATAACAATAATAATAATAATAATAATAATAATAATAATAATAATAATAATAAATGCCATTTAGCAGACGCTTTTATCCAAAGCGACTTACAGTCATGTGTATTTATAATTAGGTCTACATTACAATATTTTAGGTTGACAATAATTATATTACATCAATTCTGATATATCGCATGCCTTACTGTTTAAGTAGAATCAGGATTATGCCTCTACTGCCATTCATTACAATTAGACTGACCAATATGGCTGCCCTTTCACTCCATTCTGGAACTTTGAGGGTTTATGACATAGCCCCTCTAGTAATTTAATAGGATATCTATGGTGATGACATAGTGAATATAAATCAATGTGTTTTCATCGCATTTTCAACTCTACGGATTGTTTTGTAACAAAAACTGCTGCATTAAATAGCAAATGTACCCACTATGGTCTTGGCATGTGCGATCTAGCGAACAGCTCACATATACAGTGCGGGTAGGCTAACCTAAACGATTAATTTATTATGGATAAGAGCGAGATCATTTGTATTTGTCAAATAGCAGCCAAGGATCGATCATCATGTCACCAGAATAAGTCCATCTATATTTGTTGTAAAGACGCATCACACTCATCACCGTGCACTTTCACCACTCTGTGAAGTTCATCATAACATATTTCATCTGTAGCCTAATAAACTGCAAACTTTCCCGTGTCGTAGTGGGACGACCACACAACATATCGCGTAAATCCAAGTTTACTTTGATATGCGCATTTGAATATTTGCGCATAAAGGAGCTTCCACCGCCATTTTTCGCATAATTAATTTTACCGACAAAAATTGTCTAGAATATTGTTTTGTCGACATTTGGAAAGTTTAATGACAAATTTGCTGTTTCCATCAAGCCTGTATTGACATTTTTTTTTATCCCACATGTACTTAACTCAGATAAAAAGGTTGGATGGAAACCTGGTCAGTGAGCAAGTCCACAAGCTGATCTCAAATGTATTACTGAAAATGGCTGGGCTTTGGTTAATATTGAATAACTATGTGATTCCAATAATAAAAAGGCACAAGGTGAGTGAAGAAAAAGTTATTTTCACTGCCTTGAAACCACATTTAACATCATTAATTTAGAAAATGGTTACACATTTTGTCCCCCCAAAATAATGTCTTTATTATTTGACTAAGTGCTGTAAAAAAACATTTGAAAATACACATATTTAGGAAGGTCAGAATCAGATTAATATATCCAACAGCAATACAAGTGCTATGTTAGGATCACAAAGTGTTATGGTTACAGTTCACTTTTAGAATGACAAACATCATCCAGTTGTCAAACCACTATCCTGATTATCAATATTGATTCTGGCTGGTGTGGTCCATGGTGTACTCCATGTGAGCCAGGAGTTTAAAGTCCAGTGTATCTTGGCTGTTCAGTAAGATATGGGCGGTGTTCTTTGCTAGGTCATAATGAAAGGTCAGGTGTTCATCATGAAAGGTCAGTGATTGGGGGCAGGTGTTCATCATGAACGGTCAGTATTGGGGGGCAGGTGGATGCCCAGACTCTGCAGCAGGTTAGAGGCAGGCCCGGCCAGGCCAGCCTGGGAGCTCAGAGACTCCAGGAGGTTAGTGACCAGGTTAAGGTCTATGTTCAGGGGCTGGATCTCCTCTTCATCCTCACCCAGCAGATCCTCCCCGCCGGGGGAACAAGGGCAGCCGTTGGCTGTTGGGCCTGCTTTACTGGTGTCCTGCTTGAACCATAGAATACAATTGTTACTTAACATATTTCTATGCAACTAATGCAACTTATGCATCCCAAACCTTCCTCTCTCCAAATAACTCTTTACAGAATTTGCACACTGCAACAAGAAGCGATAAATATCCACCACATCTCTGACTTGCCTGCTGGTTGAAGCTCTGTCCGATGTTTGTGCCCATAAGCTCATGATCCATCTCATCCATGTACTTCCTAAGACCTTCCAAAGCCTCTGCCCCTTCCTCCCCTGGCAGTCCAGCAGGACCCTTCACTCCCTCATCATCTTCATCATCATCATCGCCGCCATCATCATCATCTAGGTCGTCTGAGTCCAACTCCTCGTCCTTAGCCCCTGAAATATTTACAAAGCACATAGTTGAAAAGTACGCAGACTAGACGGGCCCCGACATCATACATCGGGTTAGGGCCGGGTAGGGCCTATTTTTTAAAAATCTCGTCACAATAACTAGGGTACGGGCAGGGCATCACTAAATTGATCACTATTATTTTGAAGCGGAGCCATTTGCGCGTAACCTGCTGCGCAGTACAATCATATCTGACTAAGATCATAACATAAGGTCAGAAGTGCTTCATTCTCGTCCAATATAAGACAGGAGAGATTATTTCACAGAAAATAATTGTTCATTGAGTTTAGAGTAACGAGAATTAGCCAACTGCTCTCTCGTCTCTTCATTGACCAGAGCAGCACAAGTTGAGCCGTTGCTATGGATACTCAGCGCAGAAGAGGCTGCACGCAGGGAGCGAGTGACAGACAGCGAGGAGGTTTATTTGAACAGTGAGAGACAGAATAACAACAACAAAAATCCAGAAAAACGCATGTCAAAAATGTTATGAATTGATTTGCATTTTAAATGAGGGAAATAAGTATTTGACCCCTCTGCAAAACGTGACCTCTGGCAAAACCCTTGTTGGCAATCACAGAGGTCAGACGTTTCTTGTAGTTGGCCACCAGGTTTGCACACATCTCAGGAGGGATTTTGTCCCACTCCTCTTTGCAGATCTTCTCCAAGTCATTAAGGTTTCCAGGCTGACGTTTGGCAACTCGAACCTTCAGCTCCCTCCACAGATTTTCTATGGGATTAAGGTCTGGAGACTGGCTAGGCCACTCCAGGACCTTAATGTGCTTCTTCTTGAGCCACTCCTTTGTTGCCTTGGCCGTGTGTTTTGGGTCATTGTCATGCTGGAATACCCATCCACAACGCATTTTCAATGCCCTGGCTGAGGGAAGGAGGTTCTCACCCAAGATTTGATGGTACATTGCCCCGTCCATCGTCCCTTTGATGCGGTGAAGTTGTCCTGTCCCCTTAGCAGAAAAACACCCCCAAAGCATAATGTTTCCACCTCCATGTTTGACGGTGGGGATGGTGTTCTTGGGGTCATAGGCAGCATTCATCCTCCTCCAAACACGGCGAGTTGAGTTGATGCCAAAGAGCTCGATTTTGGTCTCATCTGACCACAACACTTTCACCCAGTTCTCCTCTGAATCATTCAGATGATCATTGGCAAACTTCAGACGGCCCTGTATATGTGCTTTCTTGAGCAGGGGGACCTTGCGGGCGCTGCAGGATTTCAGTCCTTCACGGCGTAGTGTGTTACCAATTGTTTTCTTGGTGACTATGGTCCCAGCTGCCTTGAGATCATTGACAAGATCCTCCCGTGTAGTTCTGGGCTGATTCCTCACTGTTCTCATGATCATTGCAACTCCACGAGGTGAGATCTTCCATGGAGCCCCAGGCCGAGGGAGATTGACAGTTTTTTTGTGTTTCTTCCATTTGTGAATAATCTCACCAACTGTTGTCACCTTCTCACCAAGCTGCTTGGCGATGGTCTTGTAGCCCACTCCAGCCTTGTGTAGATCTACAGTCTTGTCCCTGACATCCTTGGAGAGCTCTTTGGTCTTGGCCATGGTGGAGAGTTTGGAATCTGATTGATTGATTGCTTCTGTGGACAGGTGTCTTTTATACAGGTAACAAACTGAGATTAGGAGCACTCCCTTTAAGAGTGTGCTCCTAATCTCAGCTCATTACCTGTATAAAAGACACCTGGGAGCCAGAAATCTTTCTGATTGAGAGGGGGTCAAATATTTATTTCCCTAATTAAAATGCAAATCAATTTATAACATTTTTGACATGCGTTTTTCTGGATTTTTTTGTTGTTATTCTGTCTCCCACTGTTCAAATAAACCTACCATTAAAATTATAGACTGATCATTTCTTTGTCAGTGGGCAAACGTACAAAATCAGCAGGGGATCAAATACTTTTTTCCCTCACTGTAGCACTTATTCAAGTACATACCTAGTAGTCTGTCCAGTGCACTGGCCATGGAGTCTGGATCAAACCTGAATGGCTCATTTGAATGGGACCTGTAACAAACAAAGGCAAATTACATTAATACCTGTTACAGTCAGTCAGCCAGCATACATTAACGTTCTACACAGTATTATCTCATAGCAGTTAGCTTCCCACATAAAGGGCTAAGTAGAACAGTGTGGACAGACAGTGAATCAGCCAGTCAGTCAGTCTCACCAGGGTAGTTCAGCCCCCTCGTGTGAAGACATGGCGTTGATGAAGTTCTTCATGCCCTGGGTCACAGCCACTAGGCTGTAGCTGCCCTCCTCCTCCTCCTCCCCCTCCTCCTCTTTCTCATTAGCCTCTTTCTCACTCCTTCCCCCCTGCGTATGTTTGCTCAGGCTGGGCTTTGAGCCACCCAACCCCACTCCACTCCCCACTCTTTCCTCCAACAGATGCTCCAGCTCCTGGGCTGAAATATCCAGCCAACTTTCACCTGGAGATGGGGTAAAGATGAAAGAGAAAATCAGTGTTTTCATCAACCTTCATGAGCTCATCTTTATGGAAACAGCTTATTTGCCCAGTTTACTACATGAGTATGTTCAGTACAGGCTGAACCCTTCCTCTAAATCAGCAGTCCTTATGACTGTGTGGTTTTATCTAACATGAAAGCCAGCATGCTACTTTGTGGTGTGAACATATCATTTCGGTGAGTGAGATAAAATAAAAAGGAACTTCACTCAATGCACCTGAGCTGGTACAAGACTGACTGTTGTACTATAGTAAAGTGAGGGGTTGTACTCACTATCCTCTGGAGGTAGATGGGCCTCCCGTTTACTCAGCTCATCCAGGTTGTAGGGAGCACAGCTCTGTAGCAGCTGAAGGACCTCCTCACCTGGGGCCCTGCCACCTGAGCTACAAACACACACACAGGATAGTGTATTCACACAGTGTTTCACCTATATGCATTTAGCAGTGGCGCATTGCTAAAACATTTTCAGTGTAAACTTAAATAACTAAAACCAGATATAAAGTATGTAGAAAAGATAAGAGAAAAATATTTCAATAAGATCCTCTTTGAGAACTAACAATCAATCATCAAAATAAAAACTAGACAGTCAGGGAGAATCTGAAATTCCCAAAATGTCATGGCATTTTGTTATAATGTTTGAGTTACTCAGATAGCATAAGAACAAGGCATAAGCCATGTCAAAATCTGCACAATTGTAGGAAATTAGCTTTACAACTGAAAATTATCTCAGCCCCATGACAAAATGTGTAGAATTGCAATAAATGATCTTTGAAACTGACATTTCTCTCTCTGCCCCATGGTAAAATGTGTAGAATTGCATGAAATTAGCTTTAAAAACAGCAACATTTGTCTCTACGGCAAAGAGGAGGGCCTCTAAAACCACGCCATTGACAATACCACAGTGAACACACATATGCGGGCACACGTACTGACACACCAGTGTTCCTACAGTGAAGCTGAGAGCACTCACCTGTGTGTTGGGGTGATTGACTGCTTAAAGAAGTTCTCTGCTGAGGTCATCAGTTTTCTGTAATGTGCAGAGCCCTCCAGCTCCCCCTGCCACAGACAACAACCACAATTACAATAATACTATGTCACCAAAGGGGATAACGCTATGAATCACTGACAATTGCAATGCTGACAGCACAACACTGCTATCCTCACTGAAACGTGAAATAGAGGGCTGTTATGAGTAATCTAGGAAATATTACTGTTCAGGAGTTCTTTTTTTTCTTACTGGTTAGCTAGCAACAGAGATTAGCAGTCTCGCAATCTAAACCATTATAAAATAATTATTGACTTTTGTTTGCAAGATTGTTTATATTTTTTGTCTCTGTTGCTAACCAATAATAGAAAAATCGATACTCTTGAACATGTGTAATCAGTTCACTGGGTTAACCATCAGAGAAGCAATTATCCATGCTGTCAAGATTAAAGCTGTTTAATAACCATTAGGCTACAGCAAGTGCTACTCAAGTCATTGGTACAAAACCGATGAGCTACAGTGTCTGCTAAATTTTATATCGTATAAAATAAATATTACATTAAATGTGACATACATAAAATATCTATCAACATATTAAATTGACCAAATATGTGCAAGCAAAGTAGACACTGCAAGCCTTGAGCCATTCACCCTTTGTCAGAGGCAGAGTAATGACTCACTCTGAAATAACCATTCTTCTTCAGACTGTTCAGGAATCCTTTCCACAAGGGGTTACAGCTGATGGGAGCATCAGGCACAGATGATGGCTGTCTGCATTTGGAGCACAGGATTTCAAAGCCATGGGCCTGGGAGGGTCAGAGACAAGAATAACTAACAGAACTATACAATAAATAATTATCCCAAGAAGTCTATGAGAATTGTCAATATAGATAAATGTTAGTGGGTGGGGGTGAACTCACCAGTTTCATGCCCAGCTCGTGGGCACGGTACAGGGGGTGGGACCGGGCAGGCAGGGTGAACCCACTCCTCCGGTCGGGGGTGAAATGCTGCTGCAGCAATTGGGCGTACAGGCAACGGGTGAACGTCACCTGGAAATACATATAGACAACATGTAAATATAGCACTAACATACCAAAACAAAACTAAACTGCATAACACACAATGCATTAGTGTTGTCATGATACCAGTATCACGATACTAGGAAGTAAGGAAGCAAAGGAAACAAAACATGAAGTAGACTTCATTTCTTGAGGAAAACAGTCCTACTGTTGGAAAAAACAGCCTCGTGTTTTCACCCAGAGTCACATGTTTATTTTGCAAACTATAGCACATAATATTTTACAAAAGTAGGTTTTAAAGGACCATAGAGTTTAGTCTGCGTCGTGTTCTTTTTTGCCAAATAAAATCTGGTCTCGTGACAACTCTACAATGCATACACCCGTCAACCAGTCAAAGGCAACTTGTGTGTACCGAGGTTAGGACTCGTGTGTCGGCGGAAAAGGTCTGGAATGTCCGACAGGCCTGGAGATCTACTGGGTCCCTCAGGTAGAAAGCTGACACTGCCGGGGCAACCAGGTCTGGTCGCTGTGCCAACACTGTAGCGATGCCCGCGGGCAGGAAGCAGTGAGCATGGTGAAGGTTTGCCTGGATCTTCTCTGGATATCTGTGAAGACAGATACACCCACTCATGGTCATTATGACAGTAGGCTTGAATTTGTGGCTTGACCTACACAAATCTATATACCCGTAAATATGTATTTCTGAGCAATCATAAGGCCCAAATCGACCCTTAAACAGATACCTTACAATCACTTCAAGTCATAGTGTTGTTTCTGCTGCTTCACTCACCCCTCCAGTCTTTTCCTCAGGGCAGTGCGGATCTTGGGGCTGGCTAGACAGGCCTGTGTGTGGGATGAGAGCAGTGCCAGAGCCTGGGTCACACTGGGCACCACGTCCCTGGGCAGGCCAACATCGCTAGAGCGGGAGGGACAGGGCAGGATGTACAGCTCACCTCTGTGGAGGAACACCTAGCCGACCAGAACCAGGGGGAGAGAAACACACAGATTGAGTGAGAGACCTACAGAGAGAGAGACCTGCGTGAGTGAGACCTGATGTGCGCCTACAGAGACAACAAACCAAGGGATAATCAGGTATGTGAAGCGATGTACAGACAGAGTGATAAACAGATTGTAGTCATCATCACACGTAGATATCTTACTCTGTTTTCACTGCTCTCTGGATTCAACCACTTGGGAAGATAGTCTGCTGCTTCAATCAGAAGGAACTCCCCATCATTGTCCTCTAACCTGTTTCAAGTTAAAGTAAATATCAGTAGGAAAGAACACACAAAAGAAGAATTGAAACCAACTGGAAGTATTACAGGGCTTTACAGACTGTGTTCCACTCTACCTGGCAGCAAGTTCAGGGAAGGCTTGTGTGATTTGGAGGAGGAGGTATACGATGAACCACTCATCTTCCACACTGTCCCCAAAGACAGTGCTACCTCCAATGTGTGCAGGAACTCCCCCTGCAGGTACAATCAAGACATCACCATTCAATCAGTCAAAGCTTGAAATGCATTCATATAACAAATACTTCAATCCTCAAAGAACAGTCTGCTGCCAGGTAGAGTGGAACACAGGCAAGACGGAGCTGCTCTTCCTCCCGGGGAAGGACTGCCCGTTCCATGATCTCGCCATCACGGTTGACAACTCCGCTGTGTCCTCCTCCCAGAGTGCGAAGAGCCTAGGCGTGACCCTGGACAACACCCTGTCGTTCTCCGCCAACATCAAGGCGGTGACCCGCTCCTGCAGGTTCATGCTCTACAACATTCGGAGAGTGCGACCCTGCCTTACACAGGAAGCGGCGCAGGTCCTGGTCCAGGCACTTGTCATCTCCCGTCTGGACTACTGCAACTCGCTGTTGGCTGGCCTCCCTGCCTGTGCCATTAAACCCCTACAACTCATCCAGAATGCCGCAGCCAGTCTGGTGTTCAACCTTCCCAAGTTCTCTCACGTCACCCCCCTCCTCCGCACACTCCACTGGCTTCCAGTTGAAGCTCGCATCCGCTACAAGACCATGGTGCTTGCCTATGGAGCAGTGAGGGGAACAGCACCTCTGTACCTTCAGGCTCTGATCAGTCCCTACACCCAAACGAGGGCATTGCGTTCATCCACCTCTGGCCTGCTGGCTCCCCTTCCTCTGCGGAAGCATAGCTCCCGCTCAGCCCAGTCAAAACTGTTCGCTGCTCTGGCACCCCAATGGTGGAACAAGCTCCCTCACGACGCCAGGACAGCGGAGTCACTCACCACCTTCCGGAGACATTTGAAACCCCACCTCTTTAAGGAATACCTGGGATAGGATAAAGTATTCCTTCTAACCCCCCCCCCCCCCCCCCCCCCCCAAATTGTAAAGTGGTTATCCCACTGGCTATAGGGTGAACGCACCAATTTGTGAGTCGCTCTGGCTAAGAGCGTCTGCTAAATGACGTTAATGTGCCCTTGAGCAAGGCACTTAACCCTAATTGCTCCTGTAAGTCGCTCTGGATAAGAGCATCTGCTAAATGACTAAAATGTCAAATGTAATGTAAATGTATCCAGATCAGGACCAGTACTGTACCTTTCTCAGTGTGGTACTTGAGGTTGAATGGCTGCTGTTGCCAGATATACTGCATAAGGAGAGGGGCAACCTTGGCCAAAATCTCCTCCACTAGGTGTTGCAGACACAGTTCGTCAGCCTGTGTGTCTGAGAGGTTGGGCTGAACCAAGAAGAGATAGTACTGGACCATGTCCTCTTGCACGGCTGTTCTCCTAAGTGGGTCCATAGTGGGGATGGCTTGATGAACCTATGATATGAGCAATAACAAGAGAAGTGATGTTCCTTGACTTTGTTATCAGCTGAGACTGCTGTAGGTCAGGACAATACGACATACAGCGCATTCCGAAAGTATTCAGACCACTTGACTTTTTCCACATTTTGTTACATTACAGCCTTATTCTAAAATTGATTAAATACATTTTTTCCCTCAATCTACACACAATACCCCATAATGACAAAGCGAAAACTGAAATACCTTATTTACATAAGTATTCAGACCCTTTGCTATGAGACTCAAAATTGAGCTTAGGTGCATCCTTTTTCCATTGATCATCCTTGAGATGTTTCTACAACTTGATTAGAGTCCACCTGTGGTAAATTCAATTGATTGGACATGATTTGCAAAGGCACACACCTGTCTATATAAGGTCCCACAGTTGACAGTGCATGTCAGAGCAAAACCCAAGCCATGAGGTCGAAGGAATTGTCCATTGAGCTCCGAGACAGGATTGTGTTGAGTCACAGATCTGGGGAGGGGTACCAAAAAATGTCTGCAGCATAGAAGGTACCTACGAACACAGTGGCCACCATCATTCTTAAATGGAAAAAGTTTGGAACCACCAAGACTCTTCCGAGAGCTGTCCGCCTGGCCAAACTGAGCAATCGGGGGTGAAGGGCCTTGGTCAGGGAAGTGACCAAAAACCTGATGGTCACTGACAGAGCTCTAGAGTTCCTCTGTGGAGATGGGAAACCTTCCAGAAGGACAACCATCTCTGCAGCACTCTACCAATCAGGCCTTTATGGTAGAGTGGACAGATGGAAGCCACTCAGTAAAAGGCACATGACAGCCCGCTTGGAGTTTGCCAAAAGGAACCTAAAGACTCTCAGACCATGAGAAACAAGATTCTCTGGTCTGATGAAACCAAGGTTGAACTCGTTGGCCTGAATGCCACTGTCACCATACCTACGGTGAAGCATGGTGGTGGCAGCATCATGCTGTGGGGATGCAAAGTACAGAGAAATGCTTGATGAAAACCTGCTCCAGAGCGCTCAGGACCTCAGACTGGGGCAAAGGTTCACCTTCCAACAGGACAACGACCCTAAACACATAGCCAAGACAACGCAGGAAGGGCTTTGGGACAAGTCTCTGAATGTCCTTGAGTGGCCCAGCCAGAGCCTGGACATTAACCCGATCGAACATCTCTGGAGAGACCTGAAAATAGCTGTGCAGCGACGCTCCCCATCCAACCTGACAGAGGTTGAGAGCATTTGCAGAGAAGAATGGGAGAAACTCCCCAAATACAGGCGTGCCAAACTTGTAGCGTCATACCCAAGACTAGAGGCTGTAATCGCTGGCAAAGGTGCTTCAACAAAGTACTGAGTGAAGCGTCTGAATATTTATGTAAATGTAATATTTCCGTTTTTTGTTGTTGTTTTTTTAAGCAAAAATGTCTTAAAAAAACCTGTTTTCGCTTTGTCATTATGGGGTGTTGTGTGTAGATTGATGAGAAAAAAATAAACAATTTAATCAATTTTAGAATAACGCTGTACCGTAACAAAATGTGGAAAAAGTCAAGGGGTCTGAATACTTTCCGAATGCACTGTATGTACAATGACATCTGAATGATAGCTAATTGAATTATAGGAAAACAAAAAAACTTTTCAGACAAACAGTTAGTCTTATATCGATAAATATACTGATTCGCTAACTGTTAACCTCTACGGTTCGAGTGTGGACATGCCTCAGGATAGCTTGCTATCACAGTCTGATGTAATTTGGGTAGATAGCTAACTGTTTATATGTAACTGCAATTGATCACGACAACTTGATCTCTCGAAGTCTTCAATGTATAGGCCTACCCTAAAAATTACAGGATATTTGCTAATGAAGTCATGTCATGACAATAAAATTAAGCTAACTGGACTGATAGCTAGCCAGCTAACGCGTTACCATTCTAGTCAAAGTGTCTTTTCCATGATAAATTAACGTTAGTGACCGTTCTGAGAGAGGTCTTACCTTGCCTTGTTTATTATGTATATATTGTAACGTTGGTCTTCAAGAAGGAGTCCCATAAAAAATGTAATTAGTTGTCAAGTTCTGTCGTTCTCATGCTGTTTTTGAGACACTGTTTTAGCCCTACCATTAATACATCTCGGTTATGAAGCTATAGTTTTGCTATGGTTCCTATATGGAACGGATTTATCCCAGAAATAATGATTTACTACTGTGAAAATGTGCTTTAAAATCAACATTAATAAAAACGTATAATGAATCAATAGAACATTTGTAAAATGTACATCAAATGTGGAATTACAAAAAACATGTTATTAATTATGCGTAGCCAAAGTTCCCCGGTGAGAGACGGACAGAATTTAGGAGCGCAATAGGAAAATCGCACAGAGCGCAGGGGTTTGTAGTCTTTTACATTCTCGAGAAACGTCATATCAGATTAGATATAAATACATTTCCCATCAGGCCTAGGTATTGGGTATCCATAACAGCCTTGTTATTGTTGTTGTGGTGATAATCCTCTTTAGTGGTAATGGATGCGGTAATATTGGTATATATTATTACACTTGAAACATAATCTACTTTATTTTTAGGCCACGGTTTGTTTGAAGTATTATATTGTAGATTAATACTTCTCTCTCTCAGATAGCTAGAGTAACTAAGTTAGCTAGCTAGCAAAATGGCAAACCTCTGCCAAAAGACCAAGTGGGGCCAGGAATCAGAGGGATGCACGATGAGAGAGGACACTCAGGAGGGCATGAGCGGATAAAAACTGAGAAAAGGATAATGATTTCGCGATACAGTAGGAGACCCGTATCGCACAATCTTGAGATGTAAGCTTGTTTGCTAATGACCAAGCTTATAATACTTTGCGAACAGTCATTTCTGTCATTCGAGATACTGATATGGTAGCTAGCTAACCTAGATTGACTAACGTTACATTGTTGGTAAGATAATAGCTAACGTTAGCTAATGCACAGGCCATGATCATATGACAATGTAAAAGGAGAATGTATTGATCAGATCACATTTTTGACAGCCCATCTGTCACATCAAGGTCAGTTGCCTCCCTTACACAAAGTGTTGGGATAGGATGATGTTTAATGCTTTAAATGTATTATGTAAAGGCCCACCTCATATTTCACTCCTTGTTTGTTTGGGATCAGTGTCTTTTTACAACAATAAATATCAACCTACTATGGTATAATAATGTTATATCTATGTATCTATCAATGCTATTGCTTATTCATGTTTAATAAAGCTATATTTTCCCTTCTCTGCAGTCGTGGCTTATCCCGAAGCAGCCTTGACCATCACCCTCTCCCAGAGGAGGTAGACGATGACTTCCTCCCCCAGCGCCTCCTCCATGACCTTCAGGAAGCCGTCTCCACTTACAACAGGTATGACCTGTTCTCAAAGAATCGGACGGGGGATACCAAGTACAATTGTCGGGAGCAGCCATTTTGCTTTCACATATCCTGTTTAGATGCGTGAAGGCAAGGAGACAAAAAAGAGGAAGGTAGCCAGTCAGTTACATAATCTGGTCTAAATTATTCCCTCGCACACTCGACAACACACAACACTGTAATGTACAGCATGTAAACAATGTCTGTCTTCTGCAGCTCAGAGACGACATCTGCAGCCTCTCGCCGGTCAGACTGTCCAACGGCTACTACTGGAGACACGACGCGGTCCTGGTCTGGGATCCACAGCTACACAGGGACGGGCATCTCTACAGAGAGGAGCTCTGTCTTCTCCTGGGGCTATGATGTGAGTCTCACCTCACCTTCTCAGCTGGCTGTCTGAATCTTACCAATGAAGTGCCCTATGTTCTGAGTATTTTCATGTGCTTACAGTGCCTTCAGAAAGTATTCATACCCCTTGACTTATTCCACATTTTGTTGTGTTACAGCCAGAATTCAAAATGGATTAAATAGATGTTTTTTCTCAGCCATCTACACACAATACCCCATTATGGCAAAGTGAAAACAGGCAGCGATTACAGCTGTGAGTCTTTCTGGGTAAGTCTCTAAGAGCTTTGCACACCTGGATTGTACAATATTTGCACATTATTCATGTCAAGTTGGTTGTTGATCATTGTTAGACAGCCATTTTCAAGTCTTGCCATAGATTTTCAAGCCGATTTAAGTCAAAACTGTAACTAGGCCACTCGGGGACATTCAATTTCATCTTGGTAAGCAACTCCAGTGTATATTTGTCCTTGTGTTTTAGGTTTTTGCGCTGCTGAAAGGTGGCTTTGTCTCCCAGTGTCTGTTGGAAAACAGACTGAACCAGGTTTTTCTGTAGGATTTTGCCTGTGCTTAGCTCTATTATGTTTATTTTTATCGTAAAAAACTCCCTTATCCTTGCTGATGACAAGCATACCCATAACATGATGCAGCCACCGCCATGCTTGAAAATATGAAGAGTGGTACTCAGTGATGTGTTGTGTAATCATAACGCTTTGTATTCAGGACATAAAGTTAATTTCCTTGCCACATTTTTTACAGTTTTACTTTAGTGCCTTATTGCATACAGGGTGCATGTTTTGGAATATTTGTATTCTGTACAGGCTTCCTTCTTTTAACTCTGTCATTTAGGTTAGTATTGTGGAGCAACCACAGTGTTGTTGATCCATCTTCAGTTTTCTCCTATCACAGCCATTAAACTGTAAATCACCATTGGCCTCATGGCGAAATCCCTGAGAGGATTCCTTCCTCTCCAGCAACTGAGTTAGGAAGGACACCTGTATCTTTGTAGTGACTGGGTGTATTGATACACCATCCAAAGTGTAATGAATAACTTCATCATGCTCAAAGGGATGTTCAATGTCTGCTTTTTAAAATGTTTTACCGATCTACCAAAAGGTGCCCTTCTTTGCGAGGCATTGGAAGACCTCCCTGGTCTTTGTGGTTGAATATGTTTTTGAAATTCACTGCTCAACTGAAGGACCTTACATATAATTATATGTGTGGGGTAAAGAGATGAGGTAGTCATTCAAAAATCATGTTAAACACTATTATTGCACAAATTTTTACTCCTGAACTTATTTAGGCTTGCCATAACAAAGGGGTTGAATACTTATTGACTCGACATTTCAGCTTTTAATCTTTATTTAATTTGTAAACATTTCGAAAAACGTTATGGGGTATTGTGTGTAGGCCAGTAACAAAACAAAATGTGGAAAAAGTCAAGGGGTGTGAATACTTTCTGAAGGCACTTGCTCCCCTGCATGTAACCTAGTAAAGAATAAATAAAAATAATCCACATTTACATTATGGGGGATTGTGTGTAGGCCAGTGACACAATCTCAGTTTAATCTGTTTTAAATTCAGGCTGTAACACAACAAAATGTGGAAAAAGTCAAGGGGTTTGAATACTTTCTGAAGGCACTGTAGCTAGGCCTAGCCATGCTGAATGCTACAACAGTCTTTTATACAGATTTCCATTAAATTAGCCTTATTGTAATGACTTACAGTCTGCTCTGTCTGTAGAGGTCAGTTCCCTCATGGTTTCACTTCATGGTGATTCTTAGCTTTCTATAGCTTGCCCTCAGAAACTTTATAAAAACTCTATGATTTATTTACACACAGCCATGTCCTCAGAATGCCTCATAGGACTCATACCCCTATAGTCCTAATTTATATTGTACAGTATACACACACTCGCCTGTGCAGGCACACACAGTCTCTCACAAACATATGCACATTATACTATTTGCTCCAGCACGATCACTCATACACTGCCACACACACAGTTCCCTGGGAGCTCTAGGAGCCCATCGCCATGCACACTGTAGCCTGCTGTGTAATAAACAACTCTCAGCGATGTGCTGCTAATATTTGATGAGTAGCTTGAAAAGCGACTGCCTTCTGTCTTAGTGTTTCTCTGCAGGGGCTCCTCTCACTCTCTCTCTCTCCATCCCTCAGGAGTTTGACAAGGCGGCGTCGCGACAGGTGCAGCAGATGTTTGAGGAGATTGACGACAAGCTTTATGAGGGGCGGGGTGGGGCACATCTACGGGGGCTGCAAGATGAGTGTCATCAGTGGGCATTCAGGTTCCCTCACCTACGGTGGGTCCTCACCCTACCCCCCCCCCCCCTTAGATTTGTTTTCAAACCCGAGAAGAAACTACTTGCCATATAATTATAGGCTCAAAACTCTTGGGCCCCATTCCCAATAAGATAATGTATCATAGACCATTGGCTCAGTGTGTGTGCGGGGGGGGGGGGGTTAATTAATTTTCCTATCGGTTGGATTCATTTAGGTTGTAATCACTGTTTGACCCCCTCCACCCTGCTATGTGAACCCACAGGATTCTGGGTAGTCAGCTGGTGTGTCCCAGTGACGAGGGCTTCCAGTGGTACGCCACCTCAGGGAAGGGGACCAGTACAGCCAGCAGCAGTTCAGCTGGACAAAATGACAGCATCAGTAGCAAGCCCCAGGACAAGGACAAGCCCAGCACGAGCAAAGAGTGAGCACTGACTACTGATGCTGTTAACCAATCAATTATGGATGTTCGTTTGCTTTGTGGTTTTGTGACCTACATACTGTGGCTTGTCAAACAGAAAGTCAACTAAGTAAGTCAGCGTGTGCAAGTTGCAAGGCGTCAGTGGCAATTTTAGCATGTCAATCCTGGTGGGGCAAACCAACATTAAAAAAAATGTTTTATGAATGCCAGCAAACCCACTACACAACACAATACATTAATTGCACTATAACGGTGACAAACGGTGCCCACACACTGTTAGGGCCTACATAAAGCTGTCCCAACAGCAGAGTCTCAACAGCAGTCCCAACACCTTACCACTGCTACACCTGGCTATCTGCGGAGCCTTGTCTGGCAGCGAAACAGTTAATTCAACTTAATTTACTGCCTTTAAAAAAAGCATAGCTGATATGGCTGACTTCCTTAAACAAATGTGGTTTCTACTAACAATTGAGATGTACTAACTATGGCATAAGGGGACGACGAGCGGATAAGAGGCAATCCATAATTTCGATTAAGACATTAATTAGCGAGCTAGGACAGACGTAGTCAATATAACTATTTGTTCAGCACTTTTGAAATGTACAGCGACATAATTCAGAACATGGGCCGTTCTTACAGTATTCTCCCTGTACACCAAGACAGAACCGTAGGATAAATAAAGGGGGCAGACAATGAAAGCTCTTACAATATTTGATGATTACATTTCTCTAAAACAGGCTATAGGCTACATGTGCACCACCAAGTCAGAACAGTAGGTGAAATTAGGAGGGGAAATGTGACCAAATTATTTGGGTGAGGCACATGGGCTACTAACAGCTTACTACACAAAATACACTTACAATTACTTTCTTAGCTAAAGTATACATATCTCCTTGGCATATTACATCATTTATGCAGCAGCATACAATACATTTTTGGACTGTTGTGCTCACTTGAACAGGAAGATGGCGCGGCAGTCCTGCTTGGGCAAATTTTGTCATCAAACTTTGTCCTCAAAGTCTGTCATTCTCTGGATTTATGGTGCTTTCAAGTCAACTGGGAACTCTGAAGAAAACAAAGTCGAATCATGATGACGTCAGTGATCTTCAGGTCGGAGCTCTAGAAAGAGGCCGAGTTCCCGACTTGCAATTCCGAGTTGGATGACCGTTCAAAACATATATTTTTTTGCTAATTCTTTTCAGAGTTCCCAGTTGTCTTGAACTCATTGAAATCAGATTTCCATGTTCTGAGTTTCCAGTTGTTTTGAGCGAGGCAAAAGTCATGCTGGATTGACACCATGGCCAATGTTGAATGTTTATCCTTTTAAGCTTGGAAAAGAGACCCTTAAACCCAGACTTGGGACCACACAGCCACTCCACTGAATAGCAGGCAAGTGATTGCTTTGCAGTGCTTGCAGTTAGCCACTGATTCCTTCCAAACCACTCATTGTTGAATTTGTAATTTCCAACTTGTTGTGTAATGTTTATGTCCAATGGCTGATGAGCACCGATATGTTTTATCTATAATTTCTCTTCATTATTTCTCTTCATATGACAAGGATTTAAAAAGATTTGCCAGTAGATTGTCGACTTGATTCATGATGATGACTGCTAGCTAAGATTTTAAAAGTATGATGTTGACATGATCAGTCCAATGAATGATGAGTCCAATGTTGACATGATCAGCTGCTGTAGATATAACGTGATTTTACGTCATTCTATCGGTGAGCAATGACCTTGAGCCTTCTTGGATGGGCACTTCTAATGTACAGTTGAAGTCGGAAGTTTACATACACCTTAGCCAAATACATTTAAACTCAGTTTTTCACAATTCATGACATTTAATCCTAGGAAAAATTCCCTGTTTTAGGTCAGTTAGGATCACCACTTTATTTTAAGAATGTGAAATGTCAGAATAATAGTAGAGATAATTATTTATTTCATCACATTCCCAGTGGGCATTGCCTTTAAATTGTTTAACTTGGGTCAAACATTTTGGGTAGCCTTCCACAAGCTTCCCACAATAAATTGGGTGAATTTTGGCCCATTCTTCCTGACAGAGCTGGTGTAACTGAGTCAGGTTTGTAGGCCTCCTTGCTTGCACACGCTTTTTCAGTTCTGCCCACACATTTTCTATAGGATTGAGGTCAGGGCTTTGTAATGGCCACTCCAATACCTTGACTTTGTTGTCCTTAAGCCATTTTGCCACAACTTTGGAAGTATGCTTGGGGTCATTGTCCATTTGGAAGACCCATTTGCGACCAAGCTTTAACTTCCTGACTGATGTCTTGAGATGTTGCTTCAATATTTCCACATAATTTTCCTTCCTCATGATGCCATGTATTTTGTGAAGTGCACCAGTCCCTCCTGCAGCAAAGCACCCCCACAGCATGATGCTGCCACCCCCGTGCTTCATGGTTGGGATGGTGTTCTTCGGCTTGCAAGCAACCCCCTTTTTCCTCCAAACATAACGATGGTCATTATGGCCAAACAGTTCTATTTTTGTTTCATCAGACCAGAGGACATTTCTCAAAAAAGTACGATTTTTGTCCCCATGTGCATTTGCAAACCGTAGTCTGGCTTTTTTATGGCGGTTTTGGAGCAGTGGCTTCCTCCTTGCTGAGTGGCCTTTCAGGTTATGTTGATATAGGACTAGTTTTACTGTGGATATAGATACTTTTGTACCTGTTTCCTCCAGCATCTTCACAAGGTCTTTTGCTGTTGTTCTGGGATTGATTTGCACTTTTCGCACTAAAGTACGTTCATCTGTAGGAGACAGAACCCGTCTCCTTCCTGAGCGGTATGACGGCTGCGTGGTCCCATGGTGTTTATACTTGCGTACTATTGTTTGTACAGATGAACGTGGTACCTTCAGGTGTTTGGAAATTGCTCCCAAGGATGAACCAGACTTGTGGAGGTCTACAATCTAGGTCTTGGCTGATTTCTTTTGATTTTCTCATGATGTCAAGCAAAGAGGCACAGTTTGAAGGTAGGCCTTGAAATACATCCACAGGTACACCTCCAATTGACTCAAATGATGTCAATTAGCCTATCAGAACCTTCTAAAGCCATAGCATCCTTTTCTGGAATTTTCCAAGCTGTTTAAAGACACAGTCAACTTAGTGTATGTAAACTTCTGACCCACTGGAATTGTGATACAGTGAATTATAAGTGAAATAATCTGTCTGTAAACAATTGTTGGAAAAATTACTTATTTCATGCACAAAGTAGATGTCCTAACCGATTTGCCAAAACTATAATTTGTTAACAAGAAATTTGTGGAGTGGTTGAAAAACGAGTTTTAATGACTCCAACCTAAGTGTATGTAAACTTCCGACTTCAACTGTAACTCTATGGCAGCACCTAATGGGCGTGAATTTTCGAGCTCTACCCTTAGATTTGGCGGTGACGTAGTGTCCCCATGAGTGACAGAACACTGAGCAAATCATGGCGCAACTGGCTAGGCTACTTTGGCTAGCCAAAAAGTTAGGACTGATGCTTTTTAGAAACCGATGTCAGGGTGAACCTTGTTGTTTGTGTGTCCAGTCTGTGTGTGCAGGGTAGGAAGGCTATGCTGTCCAGGCCCAGTGCGGATGTTGACCACCCCCCTGGTACTCCCAGTGGATGCAGAGGTCATGACAGGCCCAGGGTAATCGAGGCTGAAGGCCTGATGGAGGAGTACCTGGCCTTTGACTGCAGGGATCTGTGGGTCACCTGTTTAGGACCCTACAGTATATCTATAGGGGCATTTCAAATACTTTACAGTATGGTGCACTTGATTGAGCTTGTAGCCTACTTTTGGGATTACCCCAAGGGTACCAAGTAATCTAAAAACCAAGCTCAGTATTTGAAAGTAATTTACATAACTTTGCCCAGGTCTGTTGTGTTGATGGTTTAATCTGTGGTTTTACCTTTACAGGGATGACGAGTGGGAGCGGGGGTGGGTGGGGGCTGCTCGGCGGGGGAACTGCCTGCCTCCTGTGTCTCCCTACCGCTGTCGCAAACAGGCGGTCCTTGACCTGCTGTTTGACGATGTGTGGCGAGAGCTGTTTGGCTGGATGGAGGAGCTGGTCCGCAGGCACTGGGAGGGCTGTGTCTCAGGTAGAAACACAGGGCAATGTCTTATAGGCAACGCTGGGTCATACATTAGTGTTCTGTTACTCAACAAAGAGACTTGCCATTTACTTTTAAACCAACAAATCCATCATTGCCATTTTATGCCATCCCCACAGCATAATTTGTTGCTTGAGCCTGTGTTGACAGTATTCTGCACCCTCTTTTTGACAGATGATGAGAAAAATGCAGTGAACTTCAGCCCATCCCAGTCAGATGCTCAGAACCCTTTCCTGCTCCTGTCCACACTGCCCACCCTGCTCCCCAGGCTGGGCCAGAGCATGGTGCCCCAGCTAACAGGAAGCCTGCAAACCCAGGTCAGTTCCCTGAGAGGGTGGAGAAGAACCACCAATGGGTCTACCTCCCCGCAGAGTGTAACATCCTACTGTTAGGATGTAGGATTTAGATCAATAGGATATGTTACTAAGCACTGTGAATGGACTCTATAATAACCTTCAGATTAGTTTGAGCGTTTAGGCTTAATTCTCAAAACTGGAAACACAGTCACACACTGATGCTGAATTGTTTTCCCCTGCTGTCAGTAGTTCTTCTCACAAGCTGTTTCAAGGCTATCAGTTCATTAACTTGAATCCTTTTTTCTTCCCTTCCTTATTTTTGTCCCCTACTCTGTCTTGTTCCTTGGTCTGTTCCACACCCTTCTAACCACCAATCTGTCCTTCCTTACTCCCTCCTTTTCTCTTTCTCAATGTTCTCTCTCTCTCTCTCTCTCTTTTTGGTCATCCGTTTTTCCCCCAAAGACCACAAAATCAAGGGGCTCAAAGTACAAGCCCAGACGGAAATCCAAAATGCAGAAAAAGCCATCCACTGTATGCAACTCTCACCTAGAGGCAAAATGTTGCCGATCTACGCCATCCACAGCGGCATGTTATTATTCATTCTTAGACTGAATGTGCTTGTGCCTGTTGAATAACTCAAACCATACCTTACTTCTTAACCAACTGTTGAGTTTTCTTTATACCCGTCTCTGTCTTTTTTAATTCATTAATGACCATTTTGGAATGCTTTTACTTACTTCTTGCTTTAATTGATTTTTTTGTTTAATTGTCTGTTTGGTCTCAAGTGGGTGGTTGTAGGTCCTCTCCACTTGGTTGCATGTAGAAAAGCAGAGTTGTAGCTGACTAAGGTGACGTGCAAGTGTCCGTAGTGATAATGAGGTGGCTGTAGTTTTTTTAGTGAATGACCACTTTAGGTGAATGACTTTCTCTGTGTCTCCTTCTGCCTCCCTCCCTCCTACAGTCCAGTCGGCTCCCAGTAGAGGCAGCGGTGACACATCACAACCTCAACGAACTCATAGTCATCCATGGCATCCCCCTGCAGCAGAGGAACCTGGGAGTGATGGAGAGAGCCCAGTATGGAGACCATAAGTACTGATCATACTCATGCTGATACTATAAGAATCTTTATTAGTATTATTATTTAGTACAATAATCTTTATTAGTAGAGTGTAGCATTAGGAGCTAACTGTAGGGGTCAACCACTCATCGCCTCTTATCATCTTATTAAATAAGAGGGGAAGAGACTGTTACTAGCTATGGATATGTAGGTGTATATGCATATCTTACTTTGAGTATAGGTTAATTGCTTCCTTTTCCTTCTTAGGTACCCTGAGGAGAGGTTGGTGATCAATCGACCAGGGTCCACAGTGATTCCGTCTAGCAAGCCCCGTCCTCGCCGGGTGCTAGAGCAGAGCTCCTCCTCCCTGTCCCGCCCTGCCCAGTCGGCGCGACGCCGTAACCTGCCTCCACGCACCCTCTTGCCCTTGGTTCCCAGCCTGACGCAGTCCAGTGCCACCGGGACCATGGATGAGGTCATCCGTGGGACACGCCTGTGAGTTAACGTAAAGGGGGTTACGCAATCTCCATCTCTCCCTGTACTCCTCCGTGTACACCCCTCCCTCTTCTCTCTTCTTCTTCTATCGCTCTGAAGCTGGAGAACCGTCTGTGCAGAGAGATTACTTTGAAAGCGGTTTTCCTTTTAACTCGTGCCTTGTGGCGTTCTGTTCAGCAGAATGGAGGGGAAGGGATGTGAGGAATTGTGTGTGTGACTGACTAAGTACCCTAACAGATGAACTTGTCATGAACCTTGAGTGGAAGAATATCTGTGTGGAGCATATAATTTACCCTCGTGTGGAGTGTGATTTCAGTCTGCTCCATGTTAAAGGGACTTGTGTAACTTTATAGAAAGCGTGGAAGGTGAACAGAGTTGTTACTCTCTCCAGACCCACAGCCAGTGACCGCCTGGCCTCTCCTCCGATGCCTCTGAGCAGGAACACACTCCTTCCTCCCATCGGCACAGGAGAAGCTGAGCCCATGCACTCTGGACAGCACTTCAGACCTACTCAGGTATTGGATGAGTAAAACTCTGCATACTAGTTGTACATCTTGCACTGACTTGACAAAACACTTAATACTATCATCACAATTTTGTTTTGTGTGTAGCGGCATAGAGACTCGTCCAGTCGTGCCCACAGTGCTGTTACAGACGAAGCTGGTAGTTTGCTTCCTCGGGATCGGCTTCATCAATTGGACGTATTCTCCCGTCCCAACACCACCCACACCTACAGGGTATGGCTATAGTCACACACGGTAGAAATTATTACCACTACAGCATGATTTAGGCATATTTTGTAGGTTTATATTGTAAAGGATGAATGTGGAATATGTTTGCCTGCGTCCCAGTCAGTGAGATTTAACTCTGGGTTCTGTTGCAGTCGGACACCCCTTACCGCCGCTCCTTCACGGTGCTGGACAACATTGGACAGGGACGTCCTGGCAGGGCATCTGTGGGTACAGGTGGGCACCTCGTTTTACATTGCATACTGTACACATTTTCTACACATTTCTTTTGTGACCGACTGATTGAGTCTTGGTCTGGTATCCTGGCAGACTCTCTGGGCATCGGAGTGACGGGCATCAGTCTGGGCATCAGCAGCTCCTCCTTCCTGGACTCCTTCACCCACCACCCCCTGGGCCACTCCCCCATCGAAGATGAGGAGGAGCCTGACACACAAGCCCCTCCCCCAGGTCAGTAGGCGCCTCCAGTGGTCCTCCTCATTTATAAAAGGCTGTGGCTGCGGATCTGACTTTTCACTGACCTAAAGGTCCCGAAGCTTCTGCGCATGTATTTATTCTCTAGTTTATGCAGTCTCTGCTCTACTCGTAGAGAACAGTCTACTCTGGCGAACAGTCCTCGTTTAATAAAGTTAGATCAAAGCTGAATCAATGTCTGCAAGATCACATAATGATAGTATTCTACATAACAGAACCGAATATAATATCATAGTATAACATTACTTTAAGACAAAAACACCACTGCATTTTTCTTTCATGTGGCTAAAACTCAACAGCGTTCGCCACTAGGCAAAATACACAGTTAGGCTATGCTACAGTTTGCACCATCTGCTCTAAAATTTGCTCACGGAACATCATTCAAAACACCACTGTAGGCTACTTCGAAACAACACTGTATAACTCAAGAAGATCTAAATGCATATCCCCATGAAACTGAATTGAGATCAAATGGTTGGTAAAATTTGAAATTATCATTCACGATTGACAGTGAGAAATGTGAAGGGAAGGAGACCTCAAAAATGTGTGCATAAAGTAGAGGTAAAGAAGCACATACGCAGAACGGACGGTGATCTGCACATGCCCAGAAGCTTCGGGACCTTTAGTCCGTGAAAAAAAGATCCGCAGCCACTCCGTTAATAAAACATGTCGCTGGGTTGCATTCGGTAATTAAGTATGTTTATGAGAGAGTTCGGTCGTAGCCTCCGGTTATGAGGAAAGTCGTTATCTTCAAACAGAGGCACATTTTAATATTAACTATCAATGCTCATTAACACTTGTCTTCTTTGTCCTGCTCACCTCTCTTCTCAGCTCTACTGGTGCCTGTTTCAGTCCCAGCAAGCTCTCACAGCCGGGGTGGCTTCATGTCCCGCAGTAGCAGACCTGGGTTGTAGCTCCTTCGACCTCGCCCTCCTCCACCTTCTCAAACCACACTCTCCTCAGCACAGCAGGGTGCAAGGCCCTGCTTCCAATCCCAACGGTGCCCTCAAACGACACTTTATACAGCAGCAGATCTTTTGTACAATGTACTGTTTGGTGATTTGTTGATGCTTTTTTTTTTCTAGAACCCTATTTTTGTATTTTGGAACTCTCAGCTTACCTGGCTGCCAAAGACAGTATGCTGTCTCATTTACCACCTGTATGTTGGTATGTATGTACTGTATCTATGGTTTGGATGTATCTGTGTGAATGTATATTGTCTGTTATTTTCTCTGATCTATCTCTTAAGTGATTCTATGCAGGGAATGGGAAGTCAAACCAGACAGGGAGAAACAAAAGCATTTTGCACACTGACATGCTTCGTCAGGCTGCTTTGTACTTTTCTAAGGACATTACTTTTTATTTTCCCATGTAAAAAAGACAAGCACAAAACCTCTGGGTTTCACATAGCATACCTTAACAGGAAGAGACAAGACAAGCCTTAGACGCAAACTAAATGGGTAGGTATTTGGTGTTTTCCTCACAAGCCTTTTTGTGATGAGAGCTTAGTGTAAGCCACAGGAGACATGTGAGGGAATAGAGGGGCTGTATTAGTACTGGGACAATTCACCTCACTGCAGTAGAAGCCATATGCTGCTTTCAGCAGAGGGACTAGCTGAGCCTAGATCAGTCAGGCAATTTCTATATAAATACGTGATAGATGTGTGACTAGAGGGTATGCAGGTAACAAGTTTTAATCCAAATTTGACCTTAACTTCTACCTTGTCTTAACTTCAAGGTTTTGTGCAGGGAAACGTATACGTTTTCTGCTTAATGTAATAGGGTTTTATAAGCACATTTATGTTTCTAGTCCCTTGTGTGCTAAACACAATAAATATTGGCGCTCCCTGTATATCCTACAAAACAGAACTGCAGGTCCCCTTCTATTTCTATGGCTTCAGCTCTCCTTGTGTACATTATAGAACACAGTCAGGAGCACTAACTAACATGGAGGTATTTGACTTCTTTATAGAGTTAGGTTGCACTGGATGGTCTCCCTGGTAGATGGCATTAATAAAGCTTGAAATGCAGCATAGTTCTGTATGGATTCCTTTTTAAGTTTATCCCTGTATTTTATATAAAATAATAAAGATGTGTACAAATACTATTCAGATTTAGATTAATTTAATTGCTTCTCAGGGCTCTTGGATTATACACCATAACATACAACACATCAAATACAAAATGCTATGTTTGACATGTGATAGTTATAAAGTACTAGTGTATAAAGATACTATAAATTCAACCTACAGTATAACAGAATAGAAATGTGCATACATATGGAATACACAAGTTGCCGCCAACATACATCTATCTAAAATGACTTACAATACTAAACAAAGATATAAACACAACATGTAAAGTGTTGGTCCCATGTTTCATGAGCTGAAATAAAAGATCCCAGAAATGTTCCATATGCACAAAAAGACTATTCCTCTCCAGTTTTGTGCACAAATTTGTTTATCTCCCTGTTAGTGAGCATTTCTCCTTTGCCAAGATAATCCATCCACCTGACAGGTGTAGCATATCAAGAAGCTGATTAAACAGCATGATCATTACACAGGTGCACCTTGTGCTGGGAACAATAAAAGGCCACTCTAAAATGTGCAGTTTTGTCACACAACACAATGCCACCCATGTCTCAAGTTATGAGGGAGCGTGCAATTGGCATACTGACTGCAGGAATGTCCACCAGAGCCGTTGCCAGAGAATGTAATGTTCATTTCGCTACCATAAGCCGCCACCAATGTCATTTTGGAGAATTTGGCAGTATGTCCAACCGGCCTCACAACCACAGACCATGTGTTACCACGCCAGCCTACATCCGGCTTCTTGACCTGCGGGACCATCTGAGACCAGCCCCATGGACAGCTAATTGAAGTCTGGGTTTGGACAACCAAAGAACTTCTGCACAAACTGTCAGAAACCGTCTCAGGGAAGCTCATCTGCGTGCTCGTCGTCCTCACCAGGGTCTTGACCTGACTGCAGTTCGGCGTCGTAACCGACTTCAGTGGGCAAATTCTCACCTTCGATGGCCACTGGCATGCTGGAGAAGTGTTCTCTTCAAGGATGAATCCCAGTTTCAACTGTACCGGGCAGATGGCAGACAGCATGTATAGTGTCGTGTGGGCGAGCGGTTTGCTGATGTCAACGTTGTGAACAGAGTGCCCCGTGGTGGCGGTGGGATTATGGTATGGGCAGGCATAAGCTACGGACAACAAACACAATTTAATTTTTATCAATGGCAATTTGAATGGACAGAGATACCGTGACGAGATCCTGAGGCCCATTGTCGTGACATTCATCCGCCGCTATCACCTCATGTTTCAGCATGATAATGCACGGCCCCATGTCGCAAGGATCTGTACACAATTCCTGGAAGCTGAAAATGTCTGTTCTTCCATGGACTCACCAGACATGTCCCCACGGAGGATGTTTTGGGATGCTCTGGATCGACGTGTACGACAGCGTGTTCCAGTTCTCGCCAATATCCAGAAACTTCGCACAACCATTGAAGAGTGGCACAACATTCCACAGGCCACAATCAATCAATCAACAGCTTGATCAACTCTCTATGAGAAGGAGCTGTGTCACGCTGCATGAGGCAAATCGTGGTCGCACCAGATACTGACTTGTTTTCTGATCCACCCCCCTACCTTTTTTTAAAGGTATCTGTAACCAACAGATGCATATCTGTATTCCCAGTCATGTGAAATCAATAGATTAGGGCATAATGAATTTATATCAATTGACTGATTTCCTTATATGAACTGTAACTCAGTAAAATCTTTGAAATTGTTGCATGTTGTGTTTATATTTTTGTTCAGTGTAATAATATGAAAGTGGTATATGTGTGTCCTTTATTTTAAAGGGTTTGAAGTCTTCACTTTTTTCCTTTCCTTCCTGTTTTGGCATCTCCTCCCTTTTTGGAGTATATGTCTGAACTGCAGATTGCCCCTTTAACCTTAAATTGTTTCAGACCTCTCAAACGGCACACAACCATTCATTGATTGAGCTATAAAAGAATGCACACAACTCACCTAGCTAGCGTAAAGTTTGCCATACCTGCTAGCTAACGCGTAGTTGCGAACTACAGAAGTACTAGCTTCTTAGTTGTCGGGCACCACAAAGTAGTTCAAAGAAATTCAAAACAGATATTGGCTGTATAAGTTATTTATAATAACGTATCAAAACCTACCAGTCTTCTTTATCAAAACTGTCGACGTAGCTAGCTGGCTAAACTTCACTTGCTTTGTTTACAAAATTTGGCGCACTGTCCTGTCAACAGAGTGTAGGTTAAGGGTCAGCATACATAGGTTTGGTTTGCTCATAGCAGAAATCAGCTAGGTGAAGTGAACTTCTGTGCTTGCATACTCCCTAAAGCAGCGTTTCCCAAACTCGGTCCTCGGGACCCCAAGGGGTGCACGTTTTTGTTTTTGCCCTAACACTACACAGCTGATTCAAATGATCAAAGCTTGATTATTAGAATCAGCTGTGTAGTGCTAGGGCAAAAAACAAAACTCACACCGCTTGTGGTCCCGAGGACTGAGTTTGGGAAACCCTGCCCTAAAGACCTTCCATTAAAAATGAGAAAAAAACAGCAATATTACTGTTGTTTTTCCCTCTTGAGCCACCGTAGCAACAACATAGCCATAACACTTCCTGATACTAGCTAAGATGTTAAGCAGAACAGCCCTTAGAAGGGAGTTACAGTGGGGAGAACAAGTATTTGATACACTGCCGATTTTGCAGGTTTTCCTACTTACAAAGCATGTAGAGGTCTGTAATTTTTATCATAGGTACACTTCAACTGTGAGAGACGGAATCTAAAATAAAAATCCAGAAAATCACATTGTATTTTTAAGTAATGAATTTGCATTTTATTGCATGACATAAGTATTTGATACATCAGAAAAGCAGAACTTAATATTTGGTTTGTTTGCAATTACAGAGTTCATACGTTTCCTGTAGGTCTTGACCAGGTTTGCACACACTGCTGTTTCCACCTCCATGCTTCACGGTTGGGATGGTGTTCTTGGGGTTGTACTCATCCTTCTTCTTCCTCCAAACACGGTGAGTGGAGTTTAGACCAAAAAGCTCTATTTTTGTCTCATCAGACCACATGACCTTCTCCCATTCGTCCTCTGGATCATCCAGATGGTCATTGGCAAACTTCAGACGGGCCTGGACATGCACTGGCTTGAGCAGGGGGACCTTGCGTGCACTGCAGGATTTTAATCCATGACGGCGTAGTGTGTTACTAATGGTTTTCTTTGAGACTGTGGTCCCAGCTCTCTTCAGGTCATTGACCAGGTCCTGCCGTGTAGTTCTGGGCTGAAATCTCACCTTCCTCATGATCATTGATGCCCCACGAGGTGAGATCTTGCATGGAGCCCCAGACCGAGGGTGATTGACCGTCATCTTGAACTTCTTCCATTTTCTAATAATTGCGCCAACAGTTGTTGCCTTCTCACCAAGCTGCTTGCCTATTGTCCTGTGGCCCATCCCAGCCTTGTGCAGGTCTACAATTTTATCCCTGATGTCCTTACACAGCTCTCTGGTCTTGGCCATTGTGGAGAGGTTGGAGTCTGTTTGATTGAATGTGTGGACAGGTGTATTTTATAAAGGTAACGAGTTCAAACAGGTGCAGTTAATACAGGTAATGAGTGGAGAACAGGAGGGCTTCTTAAAGAAAAACGAACAGGTCTGCAAATTAATTACTTAAAAATCATACAATGTGATTTTCTGGATTTTGGTTTTAGATTCCGTCTCTCACAGTTGAAGTGTACCTATGATAAAAATTACAGACCTCTACATGCTTTGTAAGTAGGAAAACCTGCAAAATCGGCAGTGTATCAAATACTTGTTCTCCCCACTGTATCACACAATATTTCCTTGGATCGAGGGCCTTGTTGCTTTTACAAAATGATTGCCAACATTTTTATACAAATATGAATGAAAAGTTTTCATAAAAACATTATTTTAATGAGTAAATTAGTTTTTGCATTCTGAAGATGCTACCTTAGTGGCTGGTTGTTAGTTATTTCTCATATTTTCACCCAGTCATTAATTCTAATCATTCTATTTATTCAACGTGGAGAATAGGACGTCCCACTCACATCGTTGCCAGCTAAAATGGCACTCCAGCGCTTTCTGTTCTCCATGTTAGGGGCTACCAATAAATCTAACAGCCATTATGTCCCTTGCCTACTGGCCCGTATCGGATAACTTTTGCATTCTGAAGTTGCTTCCCAAGCGGAATGGTCTTTAGTTCTTCTCTCATGTTTTGATCCAGTCGTTAATTATAATTATTATATTCATTCAATGTTGCTAAACTAAACATATCCAAAGAAAAATATCCAATAGGCCTACATAGGCCGCCCTGCGCTGGGTAATGAATTAATGGAATTCTGAGTATTTACGGTTTCCATGGTGAATTATTAGTTTCATGTTTATTCTTGGGCTAGCTAGCCTACTTGCATGGGAGAGATTGCGTTTGTAAAATGATACATTGTTGCACAGGTCGTAGAGGCAGACAGGTAGGTTTATACAACCCCCAACTGTTGCAAACCAAATAGTAGCATGGAAAAATAATAATGTGCTTTTTTCCCGAGGGAGATGAAGTTAATGAATTTCCTCCCTGGGCTGCGGGACAGTGGAATTATGAGATTAACATGTCATGGTGTCCCACAACTCCTGCATATCAACCAATCAGCATCCAGGATCCAAACAACCCGTTTTATATTCAGAATTTAACTAAGATAAATCAAGAAATCTGTCATTCATTTTAACATTTTTGTTGAGGAGGTCTAAGTCACACAATTTGACATCTAGCTAAGATGTTTGGTGCAGTACTTCTCAAGTAAAATTGCATGAAAACTAGTTGCTGGTGCGCTCTCTCGTTGAATGACAGCAAACACATTATTGGAAAATACTGTCCATAGTTCCCACCCCTACTGTTGACCAATCACTGATGAAGGGGCTTAGACTTCGGCTGCCGAACTTCGACTTGCCTCAAGATTTAGAAAAAAATATGTTGTGTGTGTGAACAGACGAAAAAGAACCTGTTGAACACAAAACGAACAAAAACATCACAAAATGTAATTTAGGCATAATATAGGCTGGGAAGCATGCGACAGGCTTAACGAAAACATGGTTACGTCAATGCAAAAACGCACTCCTATTGGTTACTTTTTTAGCATGTTAAAGTGTTTTGTGGAATCAGGACTTTTTGATATCACAGGCTGATGACCACCCATTCTGTCTGTTGAAGTAGGTACAGCAGCTAGGTCATCATGATCTTTAGTCTTTCTCTTTAGTTTTGTAGTAATCATCCAAGTAGAGATAAATAAATGCAAGTGTTAACATTAGGGTCACATTGATTTCTCAATTTAATTGTTTTCTCAACTAACTGTCAGTAAAGATTCAACCAAAAGATGATGTTTTATTACATGTTGATACCGAGATACAGATACTAATGTGTTTATTGGTGCATTTGTAGCATAGCACAATTAAAATACATCAAAGACAATGAAGCTAGTCGCTAACTCATTTTATCTGCTTCATGCGAAAGCAGAACACAAGATAGCCTACACACTGACTTTGCGCTAAGCGTCAATAGATTACCCCATCTGTGTTTTAAGCCTGTAGAATATAGAACAAAACAATGCAGCACTAAATATATACTGTAGGTTCTTGCCATAAGTTCTCTCTCCCCATTGTAAAGTACGATCAAAGCTCCATCTGTTTCTGTTGCATATTTTTGGGCACAGTCTTTGCTGACATTTTTTGTCATCAAAACCCTCTATCCTCCTTTGTACTCAGACTCAGAATAAGTACTTGGACAACTGGCACAACTATAAACAAAAAGACAAAAAGCACAGCAGGTTACTGTAATGGAAGGAATTTTGCTGGTGTGCGGTCCCCCTTCTGCTTCTTCTACCCAATCCATGGTTACCAGTGTTCAAATGTGACCACTCTTCGGAGGGTGTACCACATTTCTTAACAGTCTCCCTCATAGTAGAATGGCTTTGTCATGGTAAGTCTTTGTAAATCACCTCTTCGTTGAGTCCAATGCTGCTGCAGACTATGAGACTAGGAGCGGGCAGCAGCTCAGCACTCCTTCCTGGTTCTCACTGTCTTGCTGCTGTACTTTATGGGGATCCCCCAGCGTCTCATTAGATAGACATCAAACATGTAGGCCACCCCAGGCTCCAGGCCCCCGATCACGGCTGTCGTGACAGCCCGCCGAGGGTTGAGCTCCTGGAAGTATTTACACAGGACCCTCTCAGTGTCCGACCGTGACTCAGGCCCCAGGCAGGGTGCCGTACCTCCCTTCTCCCCCTTGCCCTTACCCAGCCTCCGGCGGTACACGCAGTATAGGCTCCTCTCCTCTGTTCCCATCCAGGCCAGGGTGACGGATTCACAGCTCCTCAGCCTGTTGAAAGACTTAATCTGCAGGCTGGAGGGGAGCGAAGGTACCCCTTGACGATGGTAAGCAGAGGATGCCTGCATCTTAACAGAGGCTTTCAGCGCCCCTGGAGAAGCTTGTCTGGGGGGCGCAGTTCCCTCTCTCTCCAGGTGTATGAGGTAGGAGGGGCTGCCCTGGAGCCAGATCTGAGCCAGGTCTTCTCCCACAGCTTGGGAGCTCAGCTCTTGGCCCTTACTGGAGACTGTTACCTTGATCTTCTCACTGCTTCCGCAGCTCTGGAGAGTGAGCAGGCCACTCTGCTGCCAACCCCGGGGACGGAAGCTAAAGAACTCCACAGAGGTTGAGCCTCCATCCCGGAAGGTCACCCACCGGAGCTCTCCTTCCCTGAGTGGTGTGATAGCTGGTCGGGCCTCCTCATGTGTTTGAGCGAACGTTCCAGTGTATGCTGCACTGGTTCCATTTAGCCTGTCAATCAAAAAGACGTCAAAGTAGTACTGCGTGTCAGGGACAAGCTCTGAAACAGTGCACACGCTCTCTGTTCCCTTACAAACACATTGGAGATCATCATGCTCATCACGGACCGCAGCAGGTGACCGGAGCTCAGTGTCAGAATCCCACTGCTGCCACCACCAGTCTTTGAGAATCGGCCACACAGTTACTTTCCTCTGTTTGTTCTTCTTCTCCCTTTTCTTGTCTTTCTCCCGCTCTTTCCTGATGCCCTCCCGGGCGGCACAGAGGTTGCGGTAGTTGTGTTTGCGGTTGACAAGGACACAGTAGTCATAGCTGCGTTGGGTGTGCGGCAGCCTTGTGAGGGAGGCACTGGGGCCCCAGCTGAGGGTGACACTGGTCATTCCTACACCCAGGGTGTGGACACGGGGGTCAGAGGGAAGCTCTGGGAAGGCCCCTGAGGGCCCAGAGCCCTGATGGAGGTACACGGTAGCCCTGGTGTCCTGGTCCTTGGGGCGCAGCCTGAGGATATAGATAGATGCTGGGGCGTAGGAAGGACCTGTGTAGGTGTCCATGGTGTTGCCAGTGTTGGTGTGTATCTTGGCCTCAGTCCCAGGCCCTCTCCACCACACCTCTGGCATACTCTTCTTGGTACTCCCTGTGCAGAAAACACTGTTAAGCCACAGGTCATTAATATTCTGCCTCATACATGCACACACATACTTACACTCACTAGACAGAACATACATTCACACTCATTGAAGAGACAGTCTTACTGTTCAAAACATATCTTGATAACTTTTAATGAATACAGTAGTCAACTATAATCAATGAAGTGCAAAGAAGATTTTCCCTTATTCATATACAGTGGGGAAAAAAGTATTTAGTCAGCCACCAATTGTGCAAGTTCTCCCACTTAAAAAGATGAGAGAGGCCTGTATTTTTCATCATAGGTACACGTCAACTATGACAGACAAAATGAGAGAAAAAAAATCCAGAAAATCACATTGTAGGATTTTTAATGAATTTATTTGCAAATTATGGTGGAAAATAAGTATTTGGTCACCTACAAACAACCAAGATTTCTGGCTCTCACAGACCTGTAACTTATTCTTTAAGAGGCTCCTCTGTCCTCCACTTGTTACCTGTATTAATGGCACCTGTTTGAACTTGTTATCAGTATAAAAGACACCTGTCCACAACCTCAAACAGTCACACTCCAAACTCCACTATGGCCAAGACCAAAGAGCTGTCAAAGGACACCAGAAACAAATGTGTAGACCTGCACCAGGCTGGGAAGACTGAATCTGCAATAGGTAAGCAGCTTGGTTTGAAGAAATCAACTGTGGGAACAATGATTAGGAAATGGAAGACATACAAGACCACTGATAATCTCCCTCGATCTGGGGCTCCACGCAAGATCTCACCCCGTGGGGTCAAAATGATCACAAGAACGGTGAACAAAAATCCCAGAACCACACGGGGGGACCTAGTGAATGACCTGCAGAGAGCTGGGACCAAAATAACAAAGCCTACCATCAGTAACACACTACGCCGCCAGGGACTCAAATCCTGCAGTGCCAGATGTGTCCCCCTGCTTAAGCCAGTACATGTCCAGGCCCGTCTGAAGTTTGCTAGAGTGCATTTGGATGATCCAGAAGAGGATTGGGAGAATGTCATATGGTCAGATGAAACCAAAATATAACTTTTTGGTAAAAACTCAACTCGTCGTGTTTGGAGGACAAAGAATGCTGAGTTGCATCCAAAGAACACCATACCTACTGTGAAGCATGGGGGTGGAAACATCATGCTTTGGGGCTGTTTTTCTGCAAAGGGACCAGGACGACTGATCCGTGTAAAGGAAAGAACGAATGGGGCCATGTATTGTGAGATTTTGAGTGAAAACCTCCTTCCATCAGCAAGGGCATTGAAGATGAAACGTGGCTGGGTCTTTCAGCATGACAATGATCCCAAACACACCGCCCGGGCAACGAAGGAGTGGCTTCGTAAGAAGCATTTCAAGGTCCTGGAGTGGCCTAGCCAGTCTCCAGATCTCAACCCCATAGAAAATCTTTGGAGGGAGTTGAAAGTCCGTGTTGCCTAGCGACAGCCCCAAAACATCACTGCTCTAGAGGAGATCTGCATGGAGGAATGGGCCAAAATACCAGCAACAGTGTGTGAAAACCTTGTGAAGACTTACAGAAAACGTTTGACCTGTGTCATTGCCAACAAAGGGTATATAACAAAGTATTGAGAAACTTTTGTTATTGACCAAATACTTATTTTCCACCATAATTTGCAAATAAATTCATAAAAAATCCTACAATGGGATTTTCTGGATTTTTTTCCCTCATTTTGTCTGTCATATTTGACGTGTACCTATGATGAAAATTACAGGCCTCTCTCATCTTTTTAAGTGGGAGAACTTGCACAATTGGTGGCTGACTAAATACTTTTTTCCCCCACTGTAAACCCCTTTTCACCATCATCCTTTATCATTTCTCCTTACTTTGGGAAATAAAAGGAGTCCAAATGTTACACAATTAAAGTGAATCATTTAGGCAGACGTTGGGGAACCTAGGGTTCACACTGAATGATTTATGTGTCACAGTATAACTTCATAAAGCTGTTCGTTTGTCCATCTAGAATACCCACTGATTTTAACTAAGCAGGCTGGTGAGGACCATGGAGGATGTTGCATGACATCATTGCTAGCCTAAATAGGCTACTTTTGTGTTTAATTGATGGTAACTGACCTTTTTGTGCGCAACGAGAGATTTTTTAATATTTTTTTTATTTAATGTAGTTATGTAGCTGTCTATTTTGTCCCTCAAGTTTTATTTCTGCAACTCTTGGAGAGGTTTCCACCAGATTTGCTCTATTTTGGGTTTTACTTAGCCCATAGAAGCGCAAATAAAAACTATTGGGCATGAATATGAGACATTTTGGTAAAGGTCAGAATTAAGCTGAATTTCAGTTTATACTGTATAGGCTAGTACTTGCATGCCATTCTGTACAAATCTATCTATATATCTATTTAAAAAAGTAATTTTAAAAAGCAGAACCCTCTGTACAGTGGGGAGAACAAGTATTTGATACACTGCCGATTTTTCAGGTTTTCCTACTTACAAAGCATGTAGAGGTCTGTAATTTTTATCATAGGTACACTTCAACTGTGAGAGACGTGTAGTGTCTGAAGGTCTATTGATTTTGCTGACATTTGCAAATGGTGTAATAGATGAACTTTACTCTGCTTTGCTGAAGCATTTGGAAAAGCATTGCTACATAGGCTTCTTGGAATAGAGGACATTTGGAGATATGTGAAAGCCGGGGATTGGTCTGTCAAAAACCACCCATCTTATGTTACATAGGATAAATACCATGTTTTGAACAAAGGACGGAGAGAAACAACATATTAACAGATTGGGCCGTTGTTCTCCAGATATCTGCAGATGTCTGTAAATTGATACTGTGATCTTTGATACAATAAACCTTTATAATCAAAGTACAGTGTAAGCGGACTTCTTATCATCACAGCATAATTAGCAACATCTTTCGAGACACCACAAAATGGCGACGAGGAACCTTTGGGACGTATTACGTCTTTTCACAGCATTCCATTCATGGGCTGCGAGGTGACTCCCGCTCAAGATGCCGGCAGATAAGGTGAGATTTCTCACAGTTTTGGGCGCTGGTCAGTTTGTGTGCTTGTGTCTGTATGTGCATTGAGGAGATGTACCGTCAAAGTACTTGTGTGTGCGCTTTGCTGTTATTTGCTGTGGGATGAGAGTCCGTTCTAAATTTCTAAATTTGTTTGCGTTGGGAACAACGCAAACAGGGGGGAATGTCTATAGGAATTATTAACACTGGGCACACGGGTATTTGGCTTGAATAAAATTAAAAGGAGTACAGTGCAACCTGGGGACAAGGTGTTCGTGAAGGTATTTAGAAGGAAGTGGTATAACGCACGTCGTGAAGGACCATTTGAAGTTGTTCATAGTACTGGAACAGCTGTCCAGGTTAAAGGGTCTCCGACGTGGTATCATTTGTCACATTGTGTTAAAGCGCCTGGAGAAGTGGTGCCACGCACAGAGAGACAGGATGTTGAAGGCTCAAGAGAGCAGGATGAAGATAGGGAAGAACAGGCGGAAGGAGAGATGCATGACAATATCCAGAGTCAAAACCCAGAAGGAGAGATTGTCCATGTTGTGGACAACGTTGATGATAATGTGTACACTTCTGATGATGCCAGAGATGACTCTGCAATGGATGGAAAGGAAAGGAGATTTGGGGACATTGATTTTCAATACGTCCCAGAAACAACAGGGAATATTTCAGTGGAATGTGAAACCGCGGAGATCACCAAGGGCAACTCTGTTACAGGAGAAGCTGGTGATTCGGTTAGACAAAGTAGGCCTAGACCAGTTAGGAGAAAAGTCAGACTAAAATGTTATGAAAACTAGGGTTGAAGTAACTCTAGGAAATGTTCAATATCTGATTGTGTGATAATTTTTCAGGTCTTTACATATTATTGTGATATTTAGTATTTTCTTATGAATCAAAGGGGGAAATGGGATGTGATTCATTTTATATATAATTTGATATATCATTTTTAGTTGATATTGACGTTTTAATTTGAATGTGTTGTTTTGCAAAAGATACTGCTTGGTCTTTTCTTTTCTTCCAGAAGCATATGGGGGAATGTGTAGAGGGGATTCAAATACTCAAACATGGACAATATGAATGGACTGGAGGAAGTGGAACAAGGAAGGTGTGGAAATGTTCAGATTCCATCATCGACGTTTCATTGGAAGTCAACACTACTGAGGAGATGAAGTGTAGTGGACTACATTCCAGTGTCTACAATGATATATAGACATATTTGCATGTGTAATACATAATTTGTGTCATATTCTTTCTGTATTATTTTTGAAGAATGATGTTTTCTGTTGTTGGGTACATGTGGGGACCTCAGATGTTTTTGTTTATTTCGTTGAAGCTTAGGGATATTGGATCTAGGCAGGGATAGAGAGAATCCACAGGAGGGTCCGATGGGTCGACCAGCCTGAATGTGGACATTTTTGATTGTATTTTGTTTGCTGAGGTTTTCATGTGTATTCAATTGCATCATAGCTTAAAATGCATTGATAAAGATTTATGAATTGATCTGGAGTACTTAGGTGGTCGCCTGGTGCAGAGGGGCCGTGAGAGAAATTTCCTGTCTTGATTGATTGATGGATATTTGGAATGAAAGCTGCCAGACAGGTTTTTCGCTCTTACACTCCATAACAATTTATTTACACCCCATACAAAAATGTGTCTATATAAACATGTGTTTACTCTCCAAAAATTATGGTTTATTGCTGAAGTTACTCAATAATAAAAATTGTTATTTGTCATAATCCTATTCTTTTTGTTTTCGAGACTTAATTAGTCTCGAAGGGGGGAAATATGTAGTGTCTGAAGGTCTATTGATTTTCCTGACATTTGCAAATGGTGTAATAGATGATCTTTACTCTGCTTTGCTGAAGCATTTGGAAAAGCATTGCTACATAGGCTTCTTGGAATATAGGACATTTGGAGATATGTGAAAACTGTCAAAAACCACCCATCTTATGTTACATAGGATAAATACCATGTTTTGAACAAAGGACGGAAAGAAACAACATATTAACAGATTGGGCCGTTGTTCTCCAGATATCTGCAGATGTCTGTAAATTGATACTGTGATCTTTGATACAATAAACCTTTATAATCAAAGTACAGTGTAAGCGGACTTCTTATCATCACAGCATAATTAGCAACATATTTCGAGACACCACAGACGGAATCTAAAATAAAAATCCAGAAAATCACATTGTATTTTTAAGTAATTAATTTGCATTTTATTGCATGACATACAGTGGGGAAAAAAGTATTTAGTCAGCCACCAATTGTGCAAGTTCTCCCACTTAAAAAGATGAGAGAGGCCTGTAATTTTCATCATAGGTACACGTCAACTATGACAGACAAAATGAGAAAAAGAAATCCAGAAAATCACATTGTAGGATTTTTTATGAATTTATTTGCAAATTATGGTGGAAAATAAGTATTTGGTCAATAACAAAAGTTTTGTCAATAATTTGTTATATACCCTTTGTTGGCAATGACACAGGTCAAACGTTTTCTAAGTCTTCACAAGGTTTTCACACACTGTTGCTGGTATTTTGGCCAATTCCTCCATGCAGATCTCCTCTAGAGCAGTGATGTTTTGGGGCTGTCGCTGGGCAACATGGACTTTCAACTCCCTCCAAAGATTTTCTATGGGGTTGAGATCTGGAGACTGGCTAGGCCACTCCAGGACCTTGAAATGCTTCTTACGAAGCCACTCCTTCGTTGCCCGGGCGGTTTGTATGGGATCATTGTCATGCTGAAAGACCCAGCCACGTTTCATCTTCAATGCCCTTGCTGATGGAAGGAGGTTTTCACTCAAAATCTCACGATACATGGCCCCATTCATTCTTTCCTTTACACGGATCAGTCGTCCTGGTCCCTTTGCAGAAAAACAGCCCCAAAGCATGATGTTTCCACCCCCATGCTTCACAGTAGGTATGGTGTTCTTTGGATGCAACTCAGCATTCTTTGTCCTCCAAACACGACGAGTTGAGTTTTTACCAAAAAGTTCTATTTTGGTTTCATCTGACCATATGACATTCTCCCAATCCTCTTCTGGATCATCCAAATGCACTCTAGCAAACTTCAGACGGGCCTGGACATGTACTGGCTTAAGCAGGGGGACACGTCTGGCACTGCAGGATTTGAGTCCCTGGCGGCGTAGTGTGTTACTGATTGTAGGCTTTGTTACTTTGGTCCCAGCTCTCTGCAGGTCATTCACTAGGTCCCCCCGTGTGGTTCTGGGATTTTTGCTCACCGTTCTTGTGATCATTTTGACCCCACGGGGTGAGATCTTGCGTGGAGCCCCAGATCGAGGGAGATTATCAGTGGTCTTGTATGTCTTCCATTTCCTAATAATTGCTCCCACAGTTGATGTCTTCAAACCAAGCTGCTTACCTATTGCAGATTCAGTCTTCCCAGCCTGGTGCAGGTCTACAATTTTGTTTCTGGTGTCCTTTGACAGCTCTTTGGTCTTGGCCATAGTGGAGTTTGGAGTGTGACTGTTTGAGGTTGTGGACAGGTGTCTTTTATACTGATAACAAGTTCAAACAGGTGCCATTAATACAGGTAACGAGTGGAGGACAGAGGAGCCTCTTAAAGAAGAAGTTACAGGTCTGTGAGAGCCAGAAATCTTGCTTGTTTGTAGGTGACCAAATACTTATTTTCCACCATAATTTGCAAATAAATTCATTAAAAATCCTACAATGTGATTTTCTGGAAAAAAAAATCTCAATTTGTCTGTCATAGTTGACGTGTACCTATGATGAAAATTACAGGCCTCTCTTATCTTTTTAAGTGGGAGAACTTGCACAATTGGTGGCTGACTAAATACTTTTTTTCCCCACTGTAAGTATTTGATATATCAGAAAAGCAGAACTTAATATTTGGTACAGAAACCTTTGTTTGCAATTACAGAGATCATACGTTTCATGTAGGTCTTGACCAGGTTTGCACACACTGCAGCAGGGATTTTGGCCCATTCCTCCATACAGACCTTCTTCAGATCTTTCAGGTTTCGGGGCTGTCGCTGGGCAATACGGACTTTCAGCTCCCTCCAAAGATTTTCTATTGGGTTCAGGTCTGGAGACTGGCTAGGCCACTCCAGGACCTTGAGATGCTTCTTACGGAGCCACTCCTTAGTTGCCCTGGCTGTGTGTTTCGGGTCGTTGTCATGCTGGAAGACCCAGCCACGACCCATCTTCAATGCTCTTACTGAGGGAAGGAGGTTGTTGGCCAAGATCTCGCGATACATGGCCCCATCCATCCTCCCCTCAATACGATGCAGTCGTCCTGTCCCCTTTGCAGAAAAGTATCCCCAAATAATGTTTCCACCTCCATGCTTCACGGTTGGGATGGTTTTTTGGGGTTGTACTCATCCTTCTTCTTCCTCCAAACACGGTGAGTGGAGTTTAGACCAAAAAGCTCAATTTTTGTCTCATCAGACCACATGACCTTCTCCCATTCCTCCTCTGGATCATCCAGATGGTCATTGGCAAACTTCAGACGGGCCTGGACATGCGCTGGCTTGAGCAGGGGGACCTTGCGTGCACTGCAGGATTTTAATCCATGACGGCGTAGTGTGTTACTAATGATTTTCAGGTCTTCAGGTCATTGACCAGGTCCTGCCGTGTAGTTCTGGGCTGATCCCTCACCTTCCTCATGATCATTGATGCCCCACGAGGTGAGATCTTGCATGGAGCCCCAGACCGAGGGTGATTAACCGTCATCTTGAACTTCTTCCATTTTCTAATAATTGTGCCAACAGTTGTTGCCCTCTCACCAAGCTGCTTGCCTATTGTCCTGTAGCCCATCCCAGCCTTGTGCAGGTCTACAATTTTATCCCTGATGTCCTTACACAGCTCTCTGGTCTTGGCCATTGTGGAGAGGTTGGAGTCTGTTTGATTGAGTGTGTGGACAGGTGTCTTTTATTCAGGTAACGAGTTCAAACAGGTGCAGTTAATACAGGTAATGAGTGGAGAACAGGAGGGCTTCTTAAAGAAAAACGAACAGGTCTGTGAGAGCCGGAATTCTCACTGCAAATGACTTACTTAAAAATCATACAATGTGATTTTCTGGATTTTGGTTTTATATTCTGTCTCTCACAGTTGAAGTGTACCTATGATAAAAATTACAGACCTCTACATGCTTTGTAAGTAGGAAATCCTGCAAAATCGGCAGTGTATCAAATACTTGTTCTCCCCACTGTATATGTTATTTTAAATGGAAAATTTAAAAACTCTTATCCTCAAGTATTGGCAATACTGTATGTGAGCCAGATATAATCATACTTTAATACAAATGTCAGTCTAATCTCTCTTACATTCAGGAAAAAAGTGTGACATTTAGATATATTACTGTCTTTCTTGCTTTGAAGGTAAAATGGTTGGACAGATTGTCCAGTGATATACTAGACCTGTTTTATTCAGTATCCTGGGCTCAGTGCTGTGTGTGTGAGTAAGAGAGAGGGAGAGAGGAAAAGAGAGAGAGAGGTGGAAAGAGAGAGCAAGACCAATGGACTGATTAAGTCTCTCCTATCTTGTAGACATTTATGACCAGGGTTAGTCTTTTAATGGACACTATGTCAAAAATAAATTGCTCCAATGTGAATTGAATTGTGGTGTAATGAATCTGAATTGATATGAATAGGAATTGCATGTGATAGGGTGTTGTGTGTAGTTGCTTTTATTGTCTATCAGTGTTTCCCACTCACAGTGTAGACTCTTAGGTGGTTTGTCCTTCAGGGTTCGGGCTGCGAGGGTCCATTCGATGGGGAGGTCACAGGGACTGACGGTCACAGACATCATCACAACCTTCTTCTTCAGTGTGAAGTACAGTCTGCACGAAGATAGGTACCACACGAAAAAGGGATTGTCTATGAATTTCTAATGTATTTTTCTTCCCCCTTACAAATGTAATAACATAACTAAGAAAAGTACTGTAAAATCAAACTGTAGCCGTCAAAGCATTCCAAGCGTTTTTAGAAAATGTCTACTCCTTTGTTTCTCCCAGACACTGATAAGCTCGTAAAGCAAACAAGGAGAGGTCAACTAATGATCTGTGATAAGCTTCCATCGACCTGCGCTGTACAGATGGATATCTCTTTGCTATAACCGTCTAAAATCGTGCTTAGCATAAAGACAGCAATGTTGCTTTGGAATGTTGGGCAATTATAGGACCAGGAAACATTTGTCATTGGATTGCTACATTAGATATCCCTCCTCACCGTGTGGGATGACAATCCACAGAACTGCAGACTATGGACACACAATGTTAGACTATACATGTGGCAAGCCAACACCACATTTCTGTGCTTAGACATTCTGGTCTCCTTCTACAAGCTTATTGTTCATCTCCTTCACAATATAATTAGATTTAAACTCACCAATTAACCATGACATCATTATCAATCACCGACTGACTCTGACATCATTATTTGATCATCTTTGTACTTTCACCAACATAACTCATCAAGGTGAGACATTCAATATTGAGATGCAATTGACCTCTATGTTGTCATAGGCTCCTGAATATTTACTCTGCCCGTTGAAAAGTATTATCATTCTTTTACATGTATTTTCTGGATCAACTGCTGATATGCTGCTGTTTCTCAACAGCTGTGCCGTGCTAACATTGTCAAGGGCAATACATAGTTTAACTGATTGATTAATTACAATCATAATTAGCGGATGTTTTTCTCAGTTAAAAAACAATCTGTTTCGTAATGCACGACTGCATCGATGGACAGATGGGCAGCTCACAGTGATGCCCATATTCCAATTTACAGCTCCCAGTGTTAGAGCTCTACCACTGACATGATCAGCAGAGCCAAAGCCAAGTGGGCTGCTCTTCCTCTTCCTGCCCATGGGGCCTTTCCAACAACCAAAGAAATGGCTATTAAGATTAAGGCTATCATTGTTTTTGCTCAAACCCATGAAGAATTACACAGGAAATTACCATTTAGGGAGCTTGTATTACATAGCCTACTGTAGTGACAGCATTTTAAACAGGGGCCTCTCTTAAGTATTTCAATCTTTGTCCAGGACACGGAACATAAACATTTAGTGTGCAATACTATCCACCTCCCCTGATGTGGTCTCTATACTCTACCTCCGGGTGCGTCCTTTGGGCAGATGTATGGAGGTGACCTTTCCATCAGACAGCCAGGCGGTGGGGCGGAGTGACACCTCGTTCTCAGGGGCCAGAGCTGAGTGTCCTTGGGGCCAGGGGGAGCCACAGAGGAGAGCCACGGCCAGGCAGAGATACCAGGACAGGGCCAATGCTGCCATCATTCACACTCAGTCACCACTCTGCCGTCACCCAGGGACTGAAAGAGCAGGGGAAAGGTCAAAAGCATCCATCAGTTCCATCACATACATTTCTGCTCCTACTGTACATGAAGTACTAAAGAGGTCTAGCAGCAGATGATTCATTGATATGAGGAAACATTTCTGCTATTCACACAGAATTATTCATGCAGGAAAGCAAATTGCCACGCTATATCACTGGGATCTGTATAGCGCAGCTTGACACTTGGTGAAAAATCACTCATCGTACAACTTTCAAAGCGTGAAGTGGGTTGCAAATATCACTCAGAAGTGGATTCATTTGAATATATATCTCTATTCATAGTATGCCGGTACAAATGGGTTTGTTCTCTAAATAGAGGGTATTTTTTCATGGTTGTTGCAGCCCTTGTTATCGAAAATCCGCCAATTTAGTTTGGAACAACACAAACAACATCTGGAGGTGCTTCAGTATAATCCAATTGGAAGACAGATTCTCTTGACAAAAGCAGACAAAGCCACAAGAACTTTGAAACAGATTGGGCTGTTTTTTCTTTCCTCTTCTCACTGTTGGGATGATTTGTAGATATGATTACAGGTCTTGGCTCTTGTCCCCAGAGAAAAAAATTCATTAATTCAAAGTCACAGTCTTCAAAAAACGTCTGCTTCTCAACGTGTGTTTGTCGACGTCAAGGCTGTGCCCTGCAGATCAGATGAAAATTGTACGTAGGTGCTAGGCAGATGCATCTGAGTCTTGATCAGGCCCTGGGACATCTGAGTTTCAACAACAGCTGCATCATTACAAAGTATGGAGGATCTCATTCTCCCAGTAGTGGAGTGAACAACCCATAAAGCTTTTACAGAGAGGGAGGAAGGGAGAGAGAGAGAGAGAAATAAGAGAGGGAGGAGGGAGTGAGAAAGATTGAAAGAGAGAGAAATGAGAGACAGGGGTAGTGAGGGAGAGTGAGAAAGAGAACATTTTGAGAAATGAGAAGAGGGGGAGGATGTGGTCCAGAGTAATAAATAAGAAATGGAGAGGGAGAGACTGTGAGAGGAAAAGAAGACAAAGTGTGATGGAAGGAGGTACACAAATGGAGATTATTGGTGTTTTCTACAGCTCCATGTCTAATGGGTTCATAACTGGTGCCACATACTGTACAGTGCATTCAGAAAGTAGTCAGTTTTGGTGCACTCCACCAATCAGGCCTTTATGGTAGAGTGGCCAAACGGAAGCCACTCCTAAGGTAAAAGGCACATGAAAGCCCGCTTGGAGTTTGCAAAAAGGCTCCTAAAGGACTCTCAGACTATGAGAAACAAGATTCTCTGGTCTAATGAAACCAAGATTTAACCTTTTGGCCTGAATCCCAAGCGTCACGTCTGGAAGAAACCAGGCACCGCTCATCACCTGGCAAATACCATCCCTACGGGGAAGCATGGTGGTGGCAGCATCATGCTGTCGGGATGTTTTTCAGCGGCAGGGACTGGGAGAGTAGTCATGCTCCAAGGAAAGATGAACGGAGCAAAGTACAGAGAGATCCTTGATGAAAACCTGCTCCAGAGTGCTCAGGACCTCAGGCTGGAGTGAAGGTTCACCTTCCAACAGGACAACGACCCTAAGCACACAGCCAAGACAACGCTGGAGTGGCTTCGGGACAAGTCCCTGTATGTCCTTGAGTGGCCCAGCCAGAGCCCGGACTTGAACCTGATCGAACATCTCTGGAGACACCTGAAAATAGCTATGCAGCGACGCTCCCCATTCAACCTGACAGAGCTTGAGAAGATCTGCAGAGAAGAATGGGAGAAACTCCCCAAATACAGGTGTGCCAAGCTTGTAGCGTCATTCCCAAGAAGACTCGAGGCTGTAATCACTGCCAAAGGTGCTTCATCAAAGTACTTAGTAAAGGGTCTGAATACTTGTAAATGTAATATTTCAGTTTTCTATTTTTAATAAATTAGCAAAAATGTCTAAACATCTGTTTTTGCCTTTGTCAAAATAACACTTTAATAAATTTTAGAATAGGGCTGTAACGTAATAAAATGTGGGAAAAGTAAAGGGGTCTGAATACTTTCCGAACGCACTGCATGCTGCGTACTTCTAGGCCCATATTTATATTTAAAAGACTTAGAGCTGATCTAGGATCAGCATATCAAGCGCTCAATCATATTTTTTGCATTTCTGACTGGATTTATTAATCTGGATGAAATAAAGACAACCTCTCTTTTAGTAGATTAAATCTAAACCCTAATTTCACTTGGTTACAGAAAAATGGTTATAGAATATGTGGGATTGAAGATGCAATCTCCAGAATTGCAGCCAGATAATTAACACTCTTTGCCACCAGGGGATAGCTTTGGCCTATTTTTATTTATTTTAATATGGTCATTTCTGAGTTATTAAAATGTTCCCATTCTCTTCAAATGCTGTGTACGTGTAGGACTGTCATTTATGAATTTATTCTTTCATCATATGTGTTGAAAGTATTATGAATAATAATTGAGAATTATGAAATGTGATTTTAGTTGGAAAGAGCTTCCTTTATATAACTTGTATTATTGTGTATTCATATGCTTCTTAAATACAGACTCAGAACCATCAAACTAAATACCTTTTTTTTTTTTTTTTTACCTTTTCTCAATTTCAAAATCACATTTCATTAGACTTGCAACATACAGTACCAGTCAAAAGTTTGGACACACCTACTCATTCAAGGGTTTTTCTTTATTTTTACTATTTTCTACATTGTAGAATAATAGTGAAGATATCAAAACTATGAAATAACACATATGGAATCATGTAGTAACCAAAAAAGTGTTAAGCAAATCAAAATATATTTTATATTTGAGATTCTTCAAATAGCCACCCGTTGCCTTGATGACAGTTTTGCACACTCTTGGCATTCTCTCAACCAGCTTCACCTGGAATGCTTTTCCAACAGTCTTGAAGGAGTTCCCACATATGCTGAGCACTTGTTGGCTGCTTTCCTTCACTCTGTGGTCCGACTCATCCCAAACCATCTCAATTGGGTTGAGGTCGGGGGATTGTGGAGGCCAGGTCATCTGATGCAGCACTCTCACAAAGACATGGCGGTTGGAACCAAAAATCTCAAAATGGGACTCCAGACCAAAGCACACATTTCTACCGGTCTAATGTCCATTGCTCGTGTTTCTTGGCCCAAGCAAGTCTCTTCTTCTTATTGGTGTCCTTTAGTAGTGGTTTCTTTGCAGCAATTCAACCATGAAGGCCTGATTCACACAGTCCTCTCTGAAAAGTTGATGTTGAGATGTGTCTGTGACTTGATCTCTGTGAAGCATTTATTTGGGCTGCAATTTCTGAGGCTGGTAACTCCTCTGCAGCAGAGGTAACTCTGCGTCTTCCATTCCTGTGGCGGTCCTCATGAGAGACAGTTTCATCATAGTTCTTGATGGTTTTTGCGACTGCACTTGAAGAAACTTTCAAAGTTCTTGACATTTTCCGTATTGACTGACCTTCATGTCTTAAAGTAATGATGGACTGTCATTTCTCTTTGCTTATTTGAGCTGTGCTTGCCATAATATGGACTTGGTCTTTTACCAAATAGGGCTATCTTCTGTTTACCATCCCTACCTTGTCACAACACAACTGATTTGCTCAAACGCATTAAGAAGGATAGAAATTTCACAAATTAACTTTTAAGAAGGCACACCTGTTAATTGAAATTCATTCCAGGTGACTGACTACCTCGTGGAGCTGGTTGAGAGAATACCAAGAGCGTGCAAAGCTGTCATCAAGGCAAAGGGTGGCTATTTGAAGAATCTCAAATATAAAATATATATTGATTTGTTTAACACTTTTTTGGTTACTACATGATTCCATCTTTGTTATTTCATAGTTTTTATGTCTTCACTATTATTCTACAATTTAAAAAATAGTAAAAATAAAGAAAAACCCTTGAATGAGTAGGTGTGTAATTCCAAACTTTTGACTGTTAGTGTATGTGATGAAGAAAGAAATGATAATATACAGTGTTACAATTACACAGAATATGAGGATGGGAACATTTTAATAATTGTTCTGTGTTGTATCCTGATTGACCATGTTTGACTGGGAAAAAAACAAAAGGCCACAGCTATCCACTGGTGGTGCAGACGGTTAGTTATCTGCCTAGTGGAACCAAAGAATGTAGGTTCAAAGCCTGCATGTGCAGATTGTCAACATGTGATGTGTAAAAAATATGTTTGTGTAATGAAATGTCCTATGAATGAAATAATGTGCACATTGTCAACATATTAAGTGTAGAAAATATGGGTGTCTTTGTATAATTCAATGTTGTTCAAATGTCCTGTGAATGAAATGTAAATGTCATGTTTCTCTGTCACCTACAGTACAGTATGCAAATTGACATTATATCTGGAGAGAAACACAATGGGGATGTATTCCAATCTGCTTATGCTTTAAAGAGCTACACAAACTGAAAAATAACATTTTCTAAATGTTCTTGAAATGTTCTGAGGACCTCAAAGAAAAGCTCAAATGTAAATATCACCTTAAACCTAAAACAATGCTATGAACGTCATGAAAATGGACTTATTTCATTATTACAACATTAAGGGCATGTCCTGTGGAACCTAAATTAAACATTGAATGAATGTCATCACAACTGAGCATATGTTGTGTTTTGGGAACCTATCTCTTGTAATTTTCCCACACTGTTCCCACAACCTAATTAAATGTTCTGGGAACATTTAATGAACTCTGAAAGGCTGTTCTGTCAACATTCTTGCAATATCAAAGGAACGTTTTGTGCACCCTGACACAAACATTACCTGAATGTCAGCACAACTGGACAGTTCTAGTGTTTTGGGAACCTATCTCTTGTCGTATTCCCACAATGTTCCCACAACCTAAATAAATGTTTTAGGAACTTTTAAAGAACATCAAAAATGTGTTCTGGGAATGTTCTTGCAACATCAGGCAAATGTTTTTTTCAACCTAATAGAAACATTGTAATAATGAGCACAAATTGACA